TTTATTGCTTCTGTCTAAGAAAAAGGCACTGGGAGAACTGTGTATAGCTTCATTCTTTGGCTGATAATAAAGAACTTCAATATCAAAAAAATCTTGCATTCTGAAACACTCCTGACACTTATCAAGCAATAACATTAATTTTCACATGTATGCACTGTAAGAACATAGATATCCTCTGAACAATCTGTACATTACATAGCAGAATGTATATTATTAGTATCTGAGCCTTAGAAGTGAATGTCTCATGATGACGTGTATGCTTTACGTATTACTTATTAGTGCGTTGTTCTTTGATTATTTTCTGTAAAGCTACAAATTATTGAAATTTTCTTGTTGGTAAAACATCTCTATAATCTCATTCACGTGGTACAATCTAAGAGAAGCAGTAAAACAGAGAATATAAAACCTGTTACACTTCTCTTCATTTGAAAACCAGACTAGCAGATTGCATGTGTTCAAAAATATTACGAGCATGAAAGAATGGTTTATGTTGAAAATGCACCAGTTTACCTAAGCCATGGAAAAAGATATTCTTGTCGTTCCACTGATAAGAATAACGAAAAGCAAGAATATTATTTCAAAAATACCATTAGATAGTGACATGCAGAAGTATTTTAAATGCCTGAATTTGAAGTCTGATACAAAGCATTACATAACAAAGACAAGCACGGCACGTATCGACTAGCAACCAAGCCCCCTAGGTAAGAATTCTGCGAAGTTTACCTAAGCCATGGAAAAAGATATTCTTGTCATTCCACTGATAAGAATAACGAAAAGCAAGAATATTATTTCAAAAATACCATTAGATAGTGACATGCAGAAGTATTTTAAATGCCTGAATTTGAAGTCTGATACAAAGCATTACATAACAAAGACAAGCACGGCGTGTATCGACTAGCAACCAAGCCCCTAGGTAAGAATTCTGCGAAATCGTTTATTTAAAAAAGTCTTCTTCACTCTTGAGGAAGCCTCTCCGAAAAGTGAAATATGTTTCAAAAACTACTAATAGTTTTGTAGATTTGTAGCTACACCAGAAGCCCGATTCTTACTGAATTTCGACTATTGAAATTAGATGACGCCTTGATATCATTCATTTGATCCGATATGATAATTTTGACACCGCAATTATAATTTCCATTTAGAAAATCCCTAGAATTAAAATAGTGGATTATGTATGTCACGGTCGAAATTCAGTTAACATCAGGCCCCCAGATGCTTTTCAAAGTATATGCTTTGTATTTTGTCGGAGTGGTATTATCATTATTGTTAGATAGAAGCTTTTATTGACCTTTTTGTGAAACATGTAAATAGTAATACCTTTACATCGAATTTGTGATCCCAACGCCATTTTACATTACATATATACTATAAAGTATTGTTTTTTTAAACTATTCAAGCATAATATATAATATAATACAATCTAATGGTTTTACTTCCCTACATGCATAAGCACTGACATTAGTGGTGGGCAAAAAGTATCTATCCGATACTTTCCGAAGTCATAAGTATCCGATTCTTTTTGATAAATGTATCGAATACTGTAATAAATAGTGACAATCTGACTATTTATACATACTGTAGTGTAGACAGAGAGTGACAGAAAAATAATGTACGGTTATGGCCAAATAATTTTCAACAGCTGTGGATGTCCAAGTATCTGTCGTAATCGTCAAATACTCCGATTTTTTTAGTAAATTCTTTACTTTCTGAACAACTTCATCATATGTTTGGGGCAACAAACTGTTGCTTAAAGTTTTTCTTGAAGGAAGTTTATAAGCAGGATCAAACTCTTCTAACAATTCTCTGAACCCTTCATCTTCTACAATTGTAAATGGCTGCATGTCTTTTATAATCATGTTTAAAACTTTTATATGCAGGTTCTTAGTACGCGGAATAGACATTGGCCGCGATATTTTAGATTATTTTGATGAGGGAAAAGGCATTCGTCATTTGTCCTGATCAATTTTTTTTGTGGCGTCATAAGCCGAATTTCCTGGGATGACTTCCAAAGGTGTAGAAGAAGTTGATGGTCCGGGTATTTCCTCCAAATCCGCAGATGTTCTTAAATGCTTCGCCTTCAAATGTTTCCTCAAATTGCAGGTTGCACCACCTTTATAGGATAAGACATTTTCGCAAATGTCACACTTTGCTTTATTTGAATCAATTGCATTGAAATACAACCAGACACCACTTCTTCTTTTATCACTCATATTTTATTGTATTTTTAAAAAGAGAATATATTATATAATTCACTAAGCACTTCTAAACTTATGTAAATATGTAAGCTATACTATTGGATATGACATAACCCAGCAGTTCTTCTCAACGCAACGTCGAGGCCGACACGTGGGATTCCCAGAACTCGTTAAGATAAGGATGTTGATGTCTACCGTCACGTTTATGTAGATGTCGATATCGATATTCGATATAGATTCGGTCTTAGGTATTGGGAACCGAAAGGATAAAAAACTAAGGCAGTCTTGGTAATTTGAATATGATTTTTGGGTTGTTGCACGTTCCGGTTGTCAATTGAATATAGGCGAACTTTTGGGAATTAAAGTGTTTCATTTTGATTTCTAACACTTAACTTAAGCAAAAGGCTGAAATTAATTTCTGGTTACAAAAACCCAGAATTTATATTTTATGTTTAACCAATATTGTAACAATAACAAATTTAGCAATGTAATTTAAAATTCAGGGTATCGCTCATCACTACTCATCAGTCATTTCTAATTTCTAGTATATACTCGATGATACCTAATTATAGGAGACCGAGACCGCATAATAACTGTACAGTAAACAAACAGTAAGCAATAGATTCGAAAGTCGGGGCCTGGATCAGCGACATAAAGACACGAACAGGATTATTATTATTATAATTTATTATTAGTATTTCACACTAGCAGTATTAAATTAACGGATACTAACGGCAATTAATCGAGCCGATACTTGGTATAGGTATTGCATACACAGTATGGGATACTTACAGATAAAGTATCAGTATCTATTCGATACTTGCAAAAGTATTGATTACCCACCACTAACTGACATAATGAAGCAGCAGCGTGGCTAGATGGATCAGACAGAATTCATTCAGAACTAGCACAAAAATCCCCCAGAAATTTAACTTTAATTATGAAAAGGGTAGGTTTGGTTCGAAGAGCGGAGGAGAAGGTGCTCTCTATTCTCTCTCTCTCTCTCTCTCTCTCTCTCTGCGGAACGTGTGATTTATATTTATACCTCTTCTGAAAACATAAGTTATTCTTAAACGTCGCAGGAGACTTACCATGATTTATCAAAAACGAATTATTAGTTGGTCAATCAAATTTTTCCTAATATAAATATTCTATGAATGCCGCATTGAAGTAGTTTAATTTTTTTGTGCTGCAATTGCGCATGAACGCAAAATGGTGAGCGCATTCGCCATCCGGTCCGGGGATTGTACGAGTAGAATCTACAAAACGAGTAAATCGGTGCAACATCACGGAGAACACGCTCTTTTTCCCGAAACTCGAGGGTGGCAAGAATAAGCTAGATCAATGGGCTGATTCACATCATCTCACTATTGTCCATTTTCTGTTCTATGGCTGTAGTACAGGTTTTGTGGAGATATATGCGACCATGAGGAAAGAAAAGGCTAAAGAAAGATACAATTGTTAATCAGAGGTGGACAGTTTTGAGGTGGTGATGATGATGGTGATGGTTACAAATGGAATAAAGTACTCCAGAAATACCTAAAGCGTTTATTTTTCCCCCAAAAATCCAGCAGGGCATTATTTTCTCCAAGGAAAGTAAGACGCCCTCAAATTTGGGGGAAAATCCCCCAATATGGCAGCCTTATGAAGGAGTTCATCTCGTCGCGCATCTCGTTGAGCATCATGCCAGGCATTACGCCGTGCAGCATCCATACTCGCCTGCAAAAAAAGTGGGTTACATCTTTCTTGACCGCCGCGTCGAAATTGCATTAAAGCGTCTAATAGCGATCGTGTTTGTTATGTTTTCTTTAGAAATCATTGCTTACAGAAGTTTTTTAAGCTACTACAAATTCCAGTACGAGTGAGTAGCTCATGACCGTGAATTAAATGCTAAAATCCTAACACCGAAACCCCGCAAATGTGTCGCTTATATTATCAGTTACTTGAGGGAAAATGTTGAAAGAAACTGAAAAGTATGTGGATGCATGGTTCATTCGTATTATGCTGGTCCCACACGATGATTCCAACGTTGTTTACAACGTTCGACACCCCACAATTGGCAAGTGTGTCTCCTATACGGTGGGATGAACTTTTTAGTCTCGGACGTTCGACGCATGGTGGTGCCAACGTCTATTATCGGTGTCAGTGTCGCGCTTGAACCTTTACAACTGCAGGAAAAATTATACAAAATAAACGAGGAAACAATTTTTTCGAGCGCCGAAAAATAATTTCAGGTCTGTCCTCAGCCACCAAAACTTAAGTCTGTCACAAGCCTCAAAAATGTCGAAAAACGAAGTTTACCGTTTTTCGACGATAGCTCCAACGCCACTCTACCGATTTTCAAAAACTGCAGAGCTTTTCCGTCATTTTCATAGTAGTAACCTAGGGTCAAAATTTCATCAAAATCCTGACAGTACTTTCAGAGTTATTATTTATTTAATCTTTTTCGTTAGTTATGAAATGGAAGTCAATATATTTCTCAACTAGTCTTGCATTGCAACAGGACATTATAATGAAACAACTGTAAGCACTTGATAATCTATAATTTACTAAAATACATATCCTTAGGTCAGCCATAGCTCACCTGCGAAACGTACAAAATATTAGCAATATGAAAAAAGTGTTGTTATGGCAGCCTATGCCTTGTATGTATACTAATTTAATCCATTCTCCTCAAAAGTTACGGAACATACATTATTATTAATAGGTAGGTACTCAAATCAAAATACTTCCCACATACCACTACTTCACCACAATCACAACAAATAATGTTTGTCGCCGCTACTGGTTTTAACCTAAAACCGTCAAACACATGACATCTCGTGTGGGAACGTAACGAACCATGTTTCCAACTTTGTAAGGTCCTTTGACGCGGGTCAAATTTACCGACAAGAGCCCGAACGTGCCATGTGGCGAACGTTGGACACATGCAATTCGTCAGCGCTCTCCCACACGATGTGGGAGCGGTTCTGGGCAACCAGGACCAGAACCAGGACTGACAGATTCGACTAACGTACATCAGACAGTGACTAATGGGCAAAGGTCCTACGGACCGCCCAGACAAATAAATGACGAATAGTGGGAGCGGTTTTACCCCTCGATTCTTTTGCTCTTGAGCAATCCTGTCATCTTCAGCTTGCACCAAGCTAGTCTAACAAAAAAGAAGCACGCGACGTCTGTGACCGGCCTAATGCAAGTAATTTGACGTTTCGTGCAAATGTCCCTTGTTTATCTTTTCAGGTTAGAAATTATGGTAAAAATCGTCAAAAGAGCAAAATGTTTCCTAAAAGCAAATGAATTGGATTCTTTTAAGTTTCTTTCTTGTCAATTGACGGACACAAGCAAGGAATGTAAGACTGGTACTATACATGCCATATAATTAGGAAAGAATTGATTATAGTGGGAGCCCAGAGACAAGAAAACCAAACAATGTGCATTACTGTACTAAGAAAAATCTGCCATTGGGGCCCTCTCACTGCCATAGGTATACATATAATTCCTAATAAAAGACGGCTTCTTACAAGCCCAACAAGACAATTTGGCCCCTGCAACAGTTTGAAGGGAAAGAAAACTCTTAACATCATGTTTATTGTGGCAGTGCCTTCCTTTGTATTCTTACTTTCAATTCTAGGCTTACTACACTATTTAGAAGTCATGCACGTCTCGCAAAAAGAAAATAAATTGATTGCTTCTGACATTTATGTTTTATTTTATTTCATAAAATAATGCAGTATGTACAATTCTACAAGCCAAAATATGAAAAACTCATCAATAAAGTTTAGTGTGTACAGCTGCAGTAGAGTTTGAGGCCTCACTTTGCAGCTTCTGGCTAAAGTCTGTGCTATGAGGATCATATACAAAATCAATACCTGATGCACTCACGTATTTCTATATGCCTATTCATTTACATTGTTGACTACCTGTAGACACTCCTCCTACCATTAAAAACCTGTTTTTGTTTTCTTTTTATAATCTAATTTTCAAAACCCAATAGGACCCTTGAGGCTCATTTGCTATATAATTTATAATCATTTAGCATTATAGTATTATAGTTTTTTTATGATTCCAGGGATCATTAAATTAGTTACTGCAATGACTATTCATTGTATGAATATGTTGTGGCCAAAAGAAACATTAGGTGGTAAACTAAATTATGGAATTTTCATTATATTATCAGGGTTAACTCTCTTCAATTTTTTGTCATCAATGTACCATGGAGCTGGATATTTGCCACTTAATTGGAGACCTGTAAGTAACTAATTGAGAACTGATGAAATTATATTGCATTAATATTCAAATTATAGTTTGTTAACTGCTTTGTAACTGTCATATACTTGCATACATATTTAATATTCCCCATTACTTTTGCTTACAGTGTAAAGAAGAAGACTGCCAATTTTTGCAAATGTGTGGGGTTTGTGATGGGTATAAGGCCCCTAGATCACATCACTGTAGAAAATGTAAGTATTAAGATTTAAAAAATTGATTCCAACAATAGCTTCTACGTCAAAAGATTGTTCATTATTTCAATTTGTTCCTTTCTTCCTGCCTTTCCTCTTCCTAATACTTGAATTATTTTGCCTATGATTATTTCCAATCATTTTATGAATAAAACTGAAAACACAATTGTAAAAATGGATTTTCTCAATTTTTTGATTGCTGACAAATTTAAGCAGAAATTTTGTGTGTTACTGGAGCAACAGTCTCAACCCATAATTTATTTGAGTAATTCCACTTTACAATAACAGTATTTTTGCAAGGATAAGTCTTAATAAACAACATTTGGAGATATTTTTGCAAATCCAGGCACACAACATCCTTCATCATGTTATCATCTTTTGAGCAAAAACATAGAGAATGATTTTTCACTTGTTGCAATAACATTTAATGCCCTTTAAGTTCGATATGTTTACTTATTGATAAAATTTATAATAAAAAATGGTATAAATCAACTTTCCCATGAGAGCATGTAAAGCGTTTCTCACTGAAATTAAATGGAGACTCGCAATGTAGTATTATCCAAATTTAGAGACTTGATTTATGTGATAAATTTACCTGATGCCTGTCCAGTCTGTCGGCATCATGTCTGAACCACAATTCTGAGAGACGTAAACATTTGTGCACTTACTAATTGAAGCCTGAGGAAAGTTATAGACATGCTTGAATGCTTAAGTCCATTTGAAGGTCAAGACAGGTTTCTTAAGTGGTAACCCCTATTTTGACACTGGAAATGTAACAGTGACCAAATGCTTGTACTGACACTCTTGCGAAAGCAGGAACAACAAGCAAGCGAGTTTGTCCTCATTCAGCTTCAGCGGTTACCGCGCGAAGAGTCAGGAGCTAAATAGAGAAGTGGATTGCAAGACAACACTCTCAGAAATGAAGAAGCATCCCCATCAGGCAAGGGAGCTTATCAGGGCCCAGTGCTAAGGATACCCACTTTTGCTTATCTTTGGAAAGAGCCAAGGTTAGGTTGCTGGTGGGATTGTGGCGCCTGCCATTCACGTTGGCAGGCGCCACCTGCAAGTGATGGGGGTGGCTGAGAATGACAGGTGTGAGCTCTGCTGTGTAAAAGAAGAGACCTTGGCGCATGTTCTTTGTTGCTGTGAGGCTCTGAGCTACTACAGGCAGAATATACTGGGGTCCATCACTTTGGATCCCCAGAACGTTAAGGAGCCGGGACTCAATGCTATACTCAACTTTTCTAGAAGGGCGGGGCTTGAGGTTAAGGGAATGTAGGGGTGCATGAGGGCCGTTTAAGTGGCCTATGCGCCAACTCCTTTATTCAAATTGCAAGTACTACCTTATTATAGCTATCATCATATATTGTGTTGTTTGTAAATGTTGAATTTGTGCGACAAATAGGTGGTAGATGCGTACTGAAGATGGACCATCATTGCCCATGGATTAACAACTGCGTAGGCTGGGGCAACCATGCCCATTTCACGTGCTTTCTATTGTCCGCCACCCTCGGATGTGCTCAGGCGGCAGTCATCCTCTGTATTTCCTTGTACCACTCCATATACTACAGAACAGCCCCTCAGTTGATCGGTCAACCAAGAGTCCACTTGGGGCTCTATGGTACCATCCTGTGTGTATTTGCACTTGGTTTTTCTATCGGGGTCGTTATTGCCGTCGGTATGCTGTTGTGGCTTCAGGTAAGATTGAAGTCATTGCAAAGAACTAGTAAATGTGGATTTTTTGGATTGTTTGCAACTTACCTATATGAACCTCAAAAACAAATGGATTTCAATAAAATGCTGTAAAACTATAGTATTTAGAAAGTAAAATAATAGATGACTTCAAATTTTGAAAATAATGATTATGTTAGAAAAAAGTATGGTAATATTACAGTATTGGATTATACGTATATGTTACATTTACACACCTCTCTAGAAATATTTTGCGCCCTGTGTGATTTCTGTAAGAGTACTACAGTATGATTAAAACAATGACATGGTTTTTCGAAAAATACTTTTTTTTAACATACTGTACACTATTTTGAAACTTTAAAAGCAAGCTTATGTTTGACTCATCAAAGACTACATATTACAGAATTTCATTGAGATTCTTTTGTCTTTGAAATACCTAAGAGTAATTTAAAACGATCTATATTTAACAGTTTTTGCAAGAACTTTTTTATCAATTTATTGCTTGACACCAGATTGCTCTTACTAGATTTGTGTCAGAACTATACAACAATAGTCTCAAAAATATAATATATAATATAAAATCTTATTTTTCTATATAGTCACTTCCGTCCTTTAATTTGGCGTAATTTGCTTGGAGTAAAACTTTTGGTATTCTAAGATATTGAAGGGATAAGTAAATAAAAATCTAGCTTGTGATATCTGCTACTAGAAATGAGAGTTTCCTAAAAAAAATCTGTTGCCTGCACTTTCAACCAAACCCCACATTGACCAAATAAAGAAAATTGCCTAAAAACAAAAACGTAGTTTCGGATTTCAAAAGGTGGAATGTTACACGGATATAATCAAAGTTCTAATCTACAATTAAAATAACATCCCTGCTACATGTAGAATTGAGTCCCTTCAGTCATGGATTAATGTATTCTGTGTAATGCTAATCAATACTTCAACTGGAAAACGACATCTAATAAATTATTGCATTTAAGGTTCGAGCGATAATCCGTAATCGCACTGGAATTGAGGATTGGATACTGGCAAAAGCAAACTTCCGTAGATCAGAAGCTACTGCAAATAGTAGTAGTAGTAGTGATGCAAATATGGGGGAACGTTTTGTTTTTCCATACGATCTAGGAATACGCAGAAATATCCAGCAAGTGATGAACTGGACCTGCCAACCTGTTGGAGACGGCATCCATTGGCCAGTGCAATATGGATGTGACCAATACACATTAACCGTAAGTCGTTTTTCCGTGCATGTGTGAATGTTGGAGAGACAAACTGCCATGAAATTTACCGAGTGTTATCAACAAATTTACAGAAGTCTCGTCTACTCGGCTTTTTTTACAAATGCTGTATAAATCACTTTTTTAGCCATATGGATAAATTCACTTACAGTTTGGCAGATGTGTAATAGAATTAAAAGCATAATATACTCTTCTCAGAACTCATAGTTTTTTTTATAATTTATAGAGAGAGCAGTTAGCACAAAAGAACGAAAAAAGGCTGAAAACACGTTTGTACACCATATTTAGACCAGTTTCGGGGTATTGGTTTCCGATATTCAGCCATGGGATTCGGGTTTGCTTGAATTTTCCGTGCACAGATGAACCAAGGATAAAACTGGCCATAGGAGATAAAGTTCAGGTTACCAGATGGAGAAAGTAAGTCTCAGTACATTTTTGTATTTGACTTGAATCAAAATCCTAAAGTTATGACCTACAATATTCATTTTAATTCACCACTAAAAATCATTATCCTTCATCAAATATAATGGAACTGTAAATGTTCGCTTTAGTAGCTGGGATGCTTGCAAAGTCCTTTACGAAAAGAAAAATGAATACTGCTTTTGTACGACCAAACAACCATTTCGTTAATATTTGGAGTCATCAGTGCGGTGGGGAGTTCGTCGTGATTCTCAGTAAGGATAAAACAGCGCCGTATACGGTTGGACAGTTCTTCAAAACTAGCAAACTGCCATAATAAGGAAAGACATCTGCGCATACACAAATGGCTCCAATATAAAATAGGTGTTTGAGCTGGTATTTTCATGCCGAGGCTAAGGATTGAGAAACCAGTCAGCTTAGAAATCTGGGAAAAGATTTTTCAGACATAACTGTATGCCATAAAATGATATACCAGAATGACCACAATGAAAACTGAGACATAGAAGTACGAACATTCTTCCAGATAGTCTATCGAAATTAAGGAGGATTTGTAAAAAAGCTTTTGTTAATATAGGGAATGGAAATGTGGTGCGTCTCATATACCAGGACATACAACGCCTCCATAAGACCTGAGCTAGCAATCAATATCACATGCAATACATATAAATAAATAATATCTGCAAAGATGGACAATAAGGCCATTAACACTAATAGGGGTTTCCAGGGCTGACGAATGCTAAGGCAACTAACTATACAAACTTTAACAAAGAAGGTAACAGACACTGCTGCAACCAAATAGGAATAGGTCATGGAGCCTATGGACCAGTAGAAACTACGGCAATGTTGTTCATGCTTTAAAAAGGATCCCGAAACTTGACGCCTGGAGTACCGCTGGTGCTTTGACAGGGTTGCCATATTGGGGGATTCTCCCCTAAATTTGGGAGATTTTTACTTGAGGAATTCTTGGGATATAAATTTTATTTGGTAAATCACGTTTCGCGGATTGAAAGCATTCCCCCGCTCTTTGACTCAAACCCACCACTATATCTATTGATTAACAGTAATTTGGGGGATTTTTTTTAATGTAGCAATTCTGAGGGATTTTTCTGCTTGTTCTGTGGAAATTCTGTTTGACCCAACTGGCACCGGTGAGCTTTGACAGATCGGCCAGATGAGCACTTTTCTAATAGTCTAAGATGCGACCGATTGAATCTACAGATGTTTTTTTGTTAAGACTTATTTGTACGAGTATTAAAGCCTGTAGTGTTGGCAATAATCAACCGCTTCGATCTCTACGCCTTCAGCCTGGTGCCAAGTTTTAATGTTGTTCTTTCTTGATTTCGCCTCATAGCTTTAGTCGGACTATACACTGGTCACTCCAGATCCAGTGTCACCACATAATCAGGTTGGGCATAACATAAGGCGCTGATTGCAGACGAGGAAGCCCATATAGTTAAGCACATTTCTATAGGTACCCTGCAACTGTCAAAGTTATGTACAATAAACTTGGAGGATCGTAATTGGCCCATCCACAAAAAAACAAGCTTATCTAACACAGTTGGTTGGACCGTTGAAAGCACTATTTATTTTTGGTCGAGTCTGTTATTCCATTGCTAAATTAAGTGTTAACACTGTTTTTTACAGACATTGGTTATTTGGAGAACTTGTACAGCAGCGTGATGAAATAAGTACGGAAGAAAGAAACAGATATGATACATCAGAAAGAGTAAGAGGATGGTTCCCCAGGAGATGTGCCGTTGAAACCAATCGTGTGAACTATAAAAATGGAGTCAGCTCTCAAAACAACAAGAAGATCGACTGACGTTTAGAGTCAGAGGGTAAAAACACGGTATCCTTATTATGGGCAAGACTCCTCGATGGGGTTTCCAGGAGGTGGAATATGCACCAGAATATGAAAAGGAATGTCAACGCACAAAGCAAGGAAAAGAAAGAAGAAAATGCTACATCGTTACTGCGGAAAACCAAGTAATGTCCTGTGATGGATGGGAATGAAAATAACGTGCCATGAGTACCATAAAATGTAAATAAATACAAGTAGTTATTACTTCAGCACGTCTCAAGGAGTCGAAAAAAAAAGCCTCTGCTAATAAAAGTGGGAAGGATCTCAAAGTGCTGAATATATGCAGCCAGTTGTAAATGTAACTATGCCAAAAATACAACGTGCAAAAGAATCTTTAAACAATTTTTTAACGAGTTCTTTATTATCATTATATCAGACTTCATGGATAAGTATTTGCACACAATTAAATTTAATCATGTGTATAATTGTATGGGAGATTCCTGGAACGAGAAAAATGCTTTAAAACTGAATGATTTGAATTATTGTACCGTGTGTTTAATATTTATTGCTTTATAATTTATGTAGCAAAATTAAAAAACAAGAATTTATTTCGTCCTTTTTCCTAGTATATTGTCGAAACATTGATTGTCATTTTTTCTTTCGTGAAATCAAGGTAATATAAAAGCGAGGAGGTATGTTAATGGAAGACTGCTCCTGCTATGATCCTGACTCAGAATTCAAATCCTTAGTCTCACTACGTTCCGTGATGTATCTGCGACACTGCGCTTCAATACCCCTTTAGGTATATCGTCTTGATATGGTACTGGCGCGAAATTCGAATCGTTTGGTGGTACTAGCTCTTGACGTCTCTGCGATCCAGGTATAAAATTAGCAGTTGTTGAAAATGCTCTGTCAATTAAGAGAGTATGTAAATAGTTCTCAGTGCCATCATACAGTGAAGATCAAATTTTTCTGATGCTACTAGTTGTCATCACACTATCGTCGTATCTTTAGAAGATGGTGAGTAAACTATCAGGATCACAGAAACTTATGGAATCAGGGAGATCATTCTTATGAGAAGCGAAAAGATCTAAACTAGACCAGAGCATTAAAGTGGATTTTTGGTGCTTGCCTAGCGTTTCTTTTTCAATTGATAACTTTTCGCGTAGAAGATATGTTAACAGTCCTGATTCTGAAGCTTGTCAGAGTAGTTCCTATGGAATATTCGCAACACGCTGCTACTTATTTCGTTATGTCTTTTTTTGTTATTGGTTTAACTTGACTATTCAAGATTACATGAACGCTAGGAGATTTTGATGCAATCCCAGATTATATTTTTATGCATTGTTAGTGTGCTGCGAAACTAAATTGAAATGGTTGGGGTCACGTTAGGATTTGATTGACAGGTTATTCCTTGGTTCACCTGAAGACAAAAACAATATAGATGAACTTTTAGTAATTGAAAATTGGTTGATCAGACTTTCTTCGTAAAATTGGATGATGGAGATTTGCTCTCAGGATGACAGGTCACAGGAACGTGAAGAAGTACGCAACTGATATGTGCCCCTACAACTATACTGGTTCATTACCTCTTGTCGTCTGTGCGATTCCGATGCAGAATTTTTAGTTGTTGGCCAGACTTCGTGAAATTGGTGAATTGAGATTTGCTATCGGGATGGTACCCCCCCCCCCCCTGCTATGATATTGCTTCAATACCTCTTGTCGTATCTACGATCCTGATACATAATGTTTGTTGGTGGATAAAGATTTGCTATAAGGATAACAGAAACGCGAGGAGGTATGTAAATTATAGTCTGCTATGCCTTCCTACGGTACTGGGTAAATCCTCTTGTCACTTCTGCGATCCTGCTACAAAATTTTTAGTTGTTGAAAATTGCCTGACTAGACTTTCTTCGTAAAACTGGTGGATGGAAATTTGCTATCAGGATCACAGAAACGTGAAGAAGTACGCAAATGGTATATGTCCATACAACTATACTGGTTCATTACCTCTTGTCATTTCTGCGACTCCAATACAGAATTAGTTGTTGGAAATCTATTTGTCGGTCAGACTTCGTGAAATTGGTAGATTGAGATTTACTATCAGGATTGCACCCTGCTACGATATTGCTTTAATACCTCTTGAAGAATTTGAGATCCTGATATAGAAGTTTTATTGGTGGATAAAGATTTGCTATCAGGATCACAGAACCGGAGGAGGTTTGTAAATGATAATCTGTTACCTCTGCTACGGTACTGAATAGTATATGTTCCTGTCACTAAACTGGTTCATTACCTCTTGTCGCTTCTGCAATTTTGATACAAAGATTTGCTATCAGGGTCACATAAACGTGAGGAGGTACATAAATGATAATTTGCTACGGTACTGGGTGAATCCTCTTGTCGCTTCTACGATCCTGATATACGTTTTTTGTTAAAATTCTCTGACCAGACTTTATTCGTTAAATTAGTGGATGAATATTTGCTATTAGGATGGAACCCCACCCCCTGCTACAATATTGCTTCAATACCTCTTGTCTTATGTGCTATCCTAATACAGACTTTTTATTGTTGAAAATATTACTAGATTCTTCTTAAAATTAGGCGATAGACATTTGCTATAAGGAAAACAGAAAGCGAGGAGGTATACAAATGGTACTTTACTCCTGCTACGCAAAATTTACATGTTCACCCACCAATCTCTGTACGACTATTGATTAACAGATGTCACTACTGCTTATCAACCAGTGCCATCTCTTAGCTAATAGACAAGGTCATCAATTGCTAGAGCAATATTCCAAACCTTAGTAGATTGACTCTATTCGATTCTTGTAGGGAACGGCGACACACCCAAAAGATGGGATATGGGACTGTCGGTATGGCCAAATCTCATACAGGAGTATTAAGACCTGTTTCCTGTATATCGCATTTTAAATAAGAGATGTTCAAAAGACCATGGCGGGCGCATTTCTGATTTTCACTCCGACTCACTCTTCGTGAAAAATAAATAGCACCTCTTGTCATTCCAGCGAGCCTGCTGCCGAATATTCGATAAGTTGGAAGTATGATCGTGTTAAATTATGTTATAAAAAAACACAAATGTCACACATAAACGGATTTTATTGAAAATTGATAGGTACATTTAATTAGATATCAAAATCATAAACTGGGAGTAATGTTGGAGAGATAAGACATGTGGATCCTCTTAAAAAATAACACAGTACCTAAATGCGATTTTGTCTCAATCTTTATTTAAAGTATATCGTATTGATTTTATTGCTAGCACTTTGTGCTAGTTTACCAAGTTAAATGAGGATCCGCATAACGCAAAATATATATAAAATGTTACTATTATATTTAAAAGAAGTCATCTTGAGTCACACACAAAAACAACTATCTACCAATATAAATAAATAATATAAGTTGAATTTGGTATGAAAGGGTTCCTCTAACAGGAAAAATAAATTAAAGATCATACAAAAGTCAGCCCAATATCTCACCATAAATCTACCATCAGATCAACTCAATTAAATTAAAACTATCAGAGAACTAAGGTGAGTGCTATTGAAGGTTGAGAATCTGGTTTAATTTTCTGCAGGGTCAAGGAGTATTAATACGTATCTAAGGAATTAAAGATGAAGAAAACGACTGTCTATGTATTTCAACTTCTATAGGAATACCATAGTAATAACGGGTTATACTAAAAAAATGAGCAAGTTTACCTAAGCTGTCAGAGACAATGGATAAAAAAAATATCAGTCTAGATCACAGGAGGCAAACTATCATAAATGATTGTATGTAGTAAACAAAATGGTTGAAGCAGGGTGCTTCAAAATAAGATGGCAATCTTTCGCACACAAAATAATATCGCAAGTTCGTATAAAAGTTCTATGGTTCAGGAACCTGAAGGACAATATCGAAAACCTTTTGTTTTTAAGAAACTGTATAATTTAGTGAAATTTTGACAGCATGGCGTGTCTAATGCAAAATTACTTACTATGTTACACTTTATACAATAATCATCTGAAAATGATATAGTGAAACAACTTATCATTGGATCCAAAAACAGCAATTCACTTAAAAAAATTTGAACCATTATTATATAGTATGTGTAAAAAACATGCAATATAATGTTTGCTCTAAATCAGTTAACTGTTCTAAATGAACTCTTTGATGTTGTAAAGCTTGTGTCGTTTGAAGGTGAATTGAGAAAAACTCATTTCCATTAGCCTCCTTTAGAGGCGTGTATCTCCGTAGAGGCCCATCAGGCATCTTTTGTGTTCTGCATGCATGCGAGAGGTTGACATCTTGTATATCCGCATCAAAGATATGGCAAGATATTGAGACTAAAAGTTAATACGCTACACATACACTACTTCAACTTGGTGATAAACTGAGACAGATCATACTCATTCTCATACTGTTTGGGGTCCCAAAGCTCCGGTAGGGACTCCAAGAAGGCTTTCATGCCAATATTCGATTTGGATCCAGAAGTTCCGTCTCTGAGATTATTTGGTGTGTGAGAAAACAAGTCCAGTACTTGTTCGGTACCCATAGTTTCCATTGAACTGTTTTCTCCGCTGATGACAGTGTTTGCCGTTTGGACTTTGAACTTCTGCAATCTGAAACGAAAAACAATTTTTTATGAAGTAGCCATTGCTAGTATGTGTTTTGATATGCAAGGATCATTAATTTTGTCGTAAATTAAAAATTGAATTGAATTGCGGCCAAAAATCAAAAAATAAATACACCTGAATCTTCGCTTTTCAATGTTTCAGAGTATCCTGATCATTTTCAGAAATTATTTTGGTAAGGTTGCAAATTGACAGTTTTGAGTTGTAGGGGGTGGTAGATTGTAAATGTTGTATGAAAATTGTATCTGAAGCCGTAATAAAGCTTCGAAATATATTACTAATTTTGCCAATTATTTTGTGGGTAATAAATAAAAGTAACACATAGCATATTTTGACACTACATAAATGTTATGTTACTAAAACACTTGTTACAACAGTAATTCTTTTTCGCTTTTCATACCACATCATGCCATTTATCGACCACATTAAATATATAAAATTTACATGTGAGATTTCACAAACTATTTTATTATCTATCCGAGTGACGTCATAGCATCAACGTACTCATTAACTGGATAGAAACAGTGGTTAAGCAATGTTATTTTTAGCAAACTTTGAGAAGCAGTAATTGTGAATATTTTCAAAATCATGTTCTTTATTTGCATTGACGTTGTGTATTTCTGCAGAGGTTAGAGATTTGTTTACAGTTCTGTTCGCATAACATAGGACTTCAAACATAAAAATTGTTGCGAGTGGTACTATTTGTAGGTTTTTTAAGTGATTCTTGCACGTTGATTCATAACTGGAATTTGTAATTATCCTTGAAGCCATTTTTTCTAGAATGAAAATCTTTTTAGACGCCACCAATATTACCCAGAGCAGTGTGCCATATGTATTGTGGCTATGGCTTATCGAGGCTTCTGCTAAGCTGCCTAAGAACAAATAATTGTGTAGACACTCTAGAATGTAAATGATCAAAGTGGGATGACCAATTCAGTCTTGTATCGAGTACTAGTCCTAGACGTTTTACTGGTTCAGATTCAACAACCCATTTGTTAGAGGAGAATGTGAATGTCTTGTTTTCATTTAGGGATAACTTTTTTACATTTTCCAGATCTCCACACGTGTTTTGGGCAAGTCTAGAAAACAAGGAGGTATCGTCTGAAAATAGGAAGCAGGGTCTGTTGTCAATACTCGAAGGCAGGTCATTGATATACATTATATACAGCAGGGGGCCAAGTACTGATCCCTGCGGTACCCCGTTGCAAATAGGCAAAAGGTCATAGACGGTTCCCCTAGAGCTTACATACTGTTTCCTACTTGACAGATACGAACAAAATAGCTCTAGCTCGGTATTTCTTCTGCCATAGTATTGTAATCTCTTCAATTGTATATGTAAATTGATACAATCAAATGCTTTCGATGAGTCAAGCATTGTAGTATTAGAGTTATCTTCTATATTACCCAGTACTTCCCCTATCAAGGTGAGTATTAGTGCTTTTATTGTGGTTAATCATTTTCGAAATCCAAATTGTGTTACAGATAGGATAGATTTGCCATCGCAGTAGCTTGTTAATTTCTCTTTCACAATGATCTCACATATTTTCCTAATAATATATATATATATATATATATATATATATATATATATATATATATATAACTTGAGACGTGGTCATTGTCGTCTAGACCAGTTAGGTGAAAAATTAAAGCTTCCGCCTTTTGTTGGGTACTTCGACAAAATTTAAGCAAAGAGGACTCTTTATACTTTTTTTAATTCTCTCTAGCTTTCAATGGACTTTGCCATCATCATCAGGAGCTGTGATTACAATGATAACAGCAACAAAAGTGTAAAATGAATTTAAATTGAATCAACTTACAGTAGTATGTGAGGATGTTGCTAATTGTTGTTTTCGTATAGGATGAGGGAAACGTCCAGTAACATGGTGAGAGCTGGATACATGGTACAATGGTTAAAATTATATAAAATATGACAAGACAAGTTAAAGACAGATTAAAAATTATTTAGAAAAGTACCCAACAAAAGGCGGAAGCTTTAATTTTTCACCCTTATATATATATATATATATAATTGCAATTGGCCTGTAATTATCGGCGGAATCTCTGTCCCTCTTTATATATTATACATTTGTTATAAAGAGCAACAAAGGTTCCGCCATAATGTCAACAGACGATAATGGCTCTATTAAATCAATTACAATTCATCTACTATTTCAAGTAATATCTGAAGAAGACTCACCCCATGATTTTCTCTTCCAAAGTCGCTCTGGTGATGAGTCTATAGACATTCACCACCTTCTTCTGTCCTATTCTATGCGCCCTGTCCATGGCCTGCAGATCTTTCATGGGATTCCAGTCGTGTTCGACGAATATTACAGTATCGGCTCCTGTCAAATTTAAACCTAAGCCGCCAACTTGCGTTGTAAGCAGCAGAACGTCTATGGAAGGATCGTCATTAAACCTGCGATGAAAATATGTTTTCAACTTGTTAACCTCGATAAACAAAACTAATTGCTATGTAAAAGAGTTAAGCTGTTCAAAATTCATATAATCCGCACGGGTATTACATACATTGAAAAGGGAATTTTGTTGAGATTATATACTTTTTTGTGACGCAACGTATGATATCAACCTATCACTAGCTCCATTGTTTGGCTCTGATGTGATTTAACATCTCCTCCAGAGATAGCATTACTGGAGGTCTAAGTAGAAGTTGTATACTATAGCTGGGAGGGAACGACAGGGCATAGTGAGGATTAGTATGCTAATAATCTGAGTTGATGATAATTCAATTGGTTTCTTGACTGAAATACAATTATTTGAGAACTAGAAATTTATTGCGAATTCACTTTTTCTTATTCATTCTGGAAATTACATATGCAAATTTGCTGAATTTCAAACATGAGAGAGGTAAGAAAAGAAAATCTCTGGTGAAGTATATTACAAGTAACAGGTAAGAAAATATACAACAGAGAGAAATATTCATGAAGTAGCGTATATTTCTACAGTTTTCTTGCGTGCCCATATTGTCTTTACTCGGGTCAACCTCTCTCCAGACTGGACAACATATAAATAACAGCTAATATATATACTTCATTGGCAGCATATTCGGTAATACTTTACTCACTGATTCTATACACATGCAGACCAATTTTGCCGTTTTTAACGTTTTTTACATAAGACCCCTGACGGAATGGTATCTTGTTCCAAGTTATAGATGCTCAAGGAAAAAAATGCAATGTACCGAGATCTGTCATTTTACGATACAAAGTACTGCATATAAGCTTTTATTCAACAAAATATGTGTATGTTAGTATGTACCTATGTGTGGGACAAATCTTGTAACTGAATTCTAAACTATTTAAGCTTAACTAATTGAGCTGAAATTTTGTTACACATGTTTGGTTTGCGTGAAAAATACAAAACGAATTAACCGCCGTCATTTTGAATCCAAGTCAGACAGATGCTACCAAATCGCAATTCGTCATTTCCCTAGGATATGGGTATCAAATGAAAGAACTAGATGAAGTGACGTCATTAACAATCCTAAAGTGACGATTTACATATTTCATCATAGGTATTAAATGAAAGGAGAGAAAAACAACAAGAAAAGTGACATCTTTTTTAAATTCAACATGGCGGCCGCTGTTAAAAATAGCGATTTAATTTTTCATTGCCAATCCATGATATGGGTATAAAATAAAAGGACTTGATAAGAGGAACGCAATAAGCAAAGTGACGTCATTCTTAATCCAATATAGCGATCGCCCCAAGATGATGTTTATAATTATGATATAGGTATCAAATTTAAATTTGATCATATTAGTGGCGCTTTTGGGGAATCGGGATGGTTTAAGATGAACAAATTGAGGAAACTGCATTGCCGATCTCTGGTGCATAAGACCCTTCTCCTTAGGCATCATATTATCTTTATACAAAGCTATCCCTCCTCTGTCAGTACGATCAAAGATCCTCTAGGAATAAACGCATCTTACTCATTCGCGGCATTCGACAGCATGGTTCACACGTAGTTTCTCGTACTGGGCACCCAAACTATATAATTACTTGTCAAGTGAGTACAAAGAATATAGTATAAGCAACTTTAAAAAAAGGTTGAAGATGAGCTAAAAGCAATCGAGTGGCTAGAATTTCACTTTACGCATATGCACAGGTAATTGATTGTTTTTCTGAGAAGTGTAATATTTTGACCTTTTTTTTTTCGTGATCAATGTGAACTGTGCCATTTAAATGTAGGTACTTGTTTTCTTTATAGTTTGTGTCATTGTTTTTAGGTCGGGTTGAAAAACAGCGTAAGCTGACACTCCACCTTTTCGTCACTATTTTGTTTTTCTTCCTATTAACCCTATTTATTTTGTAATGCTGTGACGAATAAAGGCCATTTATTATTATTATTATTATTAAATTAAGAGAAACATAGCAAGCAACGCGAGTCCAATATGGTGGCCACCGCAGAATGATGATTAAGAATTTCCATTGTCACTCCTATATGGGTATCAAATTAAAGGGCTTGATGAGGGCACATAATAAACAAAGTGACGTGATTTTAGATCCAATATGGCGGCCGCCAATGAATGGCGATTTACAATTTCCAATGCCACCGTTATAAATTGATTATCACATGAAAGGGCACGATAAGCAAATAACGTCATTCTAAATTCGATATGGAGGAAAAAATGCATTTTTAAAAACAAAATGGAACTAGACATTTAAAAATATTGTTTTAAACGATCATGGAGTTCCTTCATCTCAAGTTTTCAAATAAAAGCGAGTTACGTTGTGTCAGGAAGATGGAAAATGGGTGTAACACGCTCTTATTTGAACACTTGGGATGAAGGAGCTTCATTATCGTTCTAATCGGTAAAACTATTTTTTAATTTTTAGATTTATTTTATGAACAGCTAAATAAAAGATTGTTCTTAAAAACGTATTTATTCACTTTATTTATTAAACGTATAGCTGTGCTCTGTGTACAATAATGTTAAGTAGCAGGAAAAATTCAAATATACTCATGCAAATGGTTGAGATTATTTAGAATACAATAGGTGAAACGCTATTCACAATTTTGGTAGTTGATACATAATAATGTTTTCTAAGAAGCTATATGCTTATTATTAAAAAATAAAAGTGTACTTACCTTGTGACAACAGAGTGCCTCTGTCCAGGGGCTATAGATCCATCTAGCCTTAAATAGGTAACACTAGGCATATGCTTTTTGAGGAGATCATTTTCTATTATATCTAGCATGGCTTTCAATTGGCAGAAGATCAGCGCACGGTGCTGATTTACGACAATTTCTGTTGATTCTTTGTCACCACTCTCTGACACACCAATGCCACAGTCTTGAAGAAGTTGCCTGAAAGAAATGCATTAGTTCAAGCAGGCGAATCAAGTCTTAGATTTATCTGAGAATGGAAGCACCACATATTTGCGAAACCTTTTGACAATAATAATAATGGTCATCATTATCTTTATTTCCCAACAGTTTCTAAATTACATGACAATAAAACATAAGCATACAGTAAAACCAAATTGAATGAAAAAATCCAATTAATGGATGCGAAATATAAATAATAATTGAATTAGCGAAAAGTACAACAGATTACAGAAAAAAATAATGTACGATTTTTGACATAATGTCACTAGTTGAAGCTCTAGAAAAAATATAAAGTGGTCATTTACAATAAACATATAATGAAAGTTGAATACTAAACATACAAGAATAGGACAACCCATTTATCCGATTTCTCTTCAAACGACTTTATTTTTGAGATACTGTGAAAATGTATATCACACACAGCAGACATTGAATTAAAATTATCACACATAGTTAATACTGGCGACTTTAGAAGCGAATTAGCTCTAGCTCTCTCATAATGGAATGTTTTGGTACTTCTAGTTCTCAAACAATGCACAAAGAAATTAATACTCGATTAAATTACACTGCCGTCTAAGTTATTATGTAAGAGCTTGTACAAAATGGTTAAACAATTATATTTTCATCTTAGACCCAGACTTTCTAACTGAAATCTAAAGTAGGAAATATGGTATGCGAGCAGTTTCAAAAAGCATCGATGCACTTTCTCAATAACCATTTTATGTTCGTAGTAATGAAACCAAATAATTGATACATATTCTAATTTTGAACGGACAAAAGTCAAAGACAGACCGACAGTTTCTCACTATGAATCCATAATCCTTTGATGCGCCATAAACCAGTACCCCGTTGCCTATAGTGTAGTCAAAGGCAAACATACTTTTCCTTCTGGTAAAACCTACGTAATACATTCAAACCAAGCTTGTTTACTTGACTCCAAGTCTGAATATTATCCAATTCCATCTGTAAGGTATGTAAAATGAAATATCACTTACTTTAACGCAGGTAGCTTCGCGGAATGCGATATATCATCCAATCTTGAATTGTGTTTCTGTAACTGTGCAGTTATTTGCATATATTGTGGATGTGATGGGTTCAACACCAATTTCGGATGGTTGCAAACGTTTTGCAAGTATCGGAGAGCCTGAAATATATGGGTATTTCCTTGCAAAGATGTAGAAACTGCTCCAGTTGATATCGACTCCTGTAATCAAAAGAAAAATAATGTCACTCACAAACAAACCTAAGGTTACCTTGTTTCATTTTCTAATCAAATTACCGGGAAAATAGCACCAAAATAAAATAATGGCGATGTTTCAGTTAATCTAAACCAATTTAGCTCGTAATTATATTTTTTCATTTTCAAAATATTTTATTGTTTAAAATGGAAAAAATATAATTAATGCTAAGTAGTGAAATGAATTTCGTTGATATTAAACATACCTGTAATGTTTGATGAGCCAGCGATTTTGAAAAATCTTCGTACAATTGCTCCTGCAACGGACTGAGTTCACAATAATAATCTTGAGTAATTTTTGGTGGCAGATCAGCTAACACGTCTTCTTTCATTCTTCTCAGTAGAAATGGTAGAACTTGTCGGTGAAGAGATTCCATAGCCAAAACTCCTGCCTCTTGATCCTTGGAAGAGCATTTAGGATCTCTGCTGGCTAAGATTGGTCTAGAGTATCTAAAAATATGGTTTAACAATGGCAATAACCATAAACATCAACAGTCTAAGAAAAGCTATCTGAATTGAAATCTAATGAAAATCCTAGTGAGAATCGCTCAAAGAAGATTCTAAACCAATCAATCAATAGGCTTTATTCATAACAAGTCAGTTACAAAGAAAAAATAAATGAACGAATAAAGTGTACTACAGGTAAGTATACATATAAAATAATACTTGTTTCGGCACAAAAAAGAAGCACATGATGTTTGCATATGTAAATGTATGTTTCCGTATAATTGGAGAGAAATTATTATTATTGGTGAAACATTGCATAGTGAATTCCCATCAAAATTGAAGTGTTCCACCATTACTCATGTGCCAAAAGTTCAACAATCTGAGCGGTAGAGAAATATGCGGTTAATTAATATATTGCAAAATGTCGAACAGCTGTTCGAATTCATTGAAGAAAACAAAACTTTGACATAATTTCAAGCTGAATTTAGTAAAAAATATTCTACAGAAACAGCAATCCAAATGGTGATGAAAGACTAGAGAAGTATACAAGAGAAAGAATGTACTGTTTTAGATTTCATAAGGGAGACTATAAATAGGAAGAAATTGTTAATGAAATTACATTACTATGGTATTAAAGGATCTGTATTAAACATTTTTTAAATCGTTTAGTAAACTCGAGTCAAAAAACTAAAATTGGAAATATGTCAAGCGTTCAAAATATATCAGTATGAAAAAGACGTTACACAACTGTTAGTTACCATTTAAAACAAAATTTGACGTTTGATAGATCATTTTCAAACACATTTAAAATAAAAATAAACTTACCGAGCTGTGAACTGCTTTTCAGTCCCTAAGAATCCAGGCATAAGAAAATCAAACAAACTCCATAGTTCCAGAACGTTATTCTGGATAGGCGTTCCGCTCAAAATCAACCTGTGATTCGCTTTCAGCGCCTTTATAGCGATGCTCGTTCTCGTTTTCCCGTTCTTGATCACGTGACCTTCATCGAGTATCACGTAGTTCCATTTGATGGTCGAGAAAAAATCGATATCTTTCCGCACTATATCGTAAGACGCAACGATAAGGTTATATCTTTTAAATTTAGGTCTCAATTTCTCTCGCTCCGTCGGAGAGCCGTTGTATTGAAGAGGACGAAGGTACTTGTGTTTTACGAATTTTTCCACTTCGTACACCCAGTGACCTGAAATCATTTTTTTGTTTAAAAATATTTTCGCTATACTATTATGGACTCAAGGAGCTCAAAATAAAAACATTTTTGCACGCTCTATACAAATCCGAAAATTGGGGGGTGATGGACAAATTTTAGAGAAAATGCATAAAAACAATCATTTACATTTTCAAATTCACCAATTTGAAATTTAGACATCGAAATAAATTTCCCCAAAACAAATAAACAACCAGAATACCACCAGAACCCAACTCGGTTTAAATATACGATTACATAACTGCGCCCTTTTTAAGATCTCTCCGTTCCTGGCGTGTATAAAAATGTATAACAATTTGCCAATAGAGTTCTGAAGAAGTATGAATATATTTACCCTGAAGAAATATTTAAGAAAATGTCTAGTAGAAAGATGTTTTTACTCGCTAGATGAGTATTTCAACATTTACATGTTGCTGCTTGTCTTTTTTATTGGTATTATGGAGTTTTTTCTAATACACACATCATCAAAAGTGTTGGACCCCCTGTATAAATTCGTCTAGAGGTACGTTATCTACATTCTGTTTGTGAACAAAAAATCTTTATATATTTGGCAAGCAAAAAACGCAAAAAACCGTTGAGATAAAAATGTGTTTGGATTTTTATAGAAATAGGTCAATTTAACGGTAGTATTTGAGCAGAAAGTATTAAAATAAAATTTTATACTGTAACTTTTAAAATGCCGCGAGCTGAAATTTCTGGTTTTGATAGAACACGAATAGTAGCCCTCTTCCAAGCTGGATTTTCAAATCACCGAATAGCACTGGATTTGGGTATCCCAAGAAGTTCGGTTATTCGAACAATTCAAAGATTACAAGAAACTGGCTCAGTTGAAAATCGGCCACGCAGTGGGCGTCCTCGAGTAACAGATGATAGGGAGAATCGTTACACTGCTTTATTTGCCCGGAGGAATAGATTTTCAACAAGTACAGCTATCAGATCGTATATTCAACATACCTTTCGCAGAGTTATTTCCACCATCAGAAGAAGATTGCGAATATTTGCGCCCTAGAAGACCTTTAAGGGTTCCACGTCTTACTCGTAGACAAATTGCTGCTCGTCTCCAGTGGGCTAGAGAACATCATGAGTGGCTTTTACCACAGTGGCGATATGTGGTATTTACAGATGAGGTTAGGTTTGGACTGGTGAGTGATGACCGTAGAATAAGGGTTTGGAGAGAACCAGGACATCAACAGCGACGAAATTTGGCCCGAGAAGTTGTCCCATATCAGGGCGGATCAATAATGTTTTGGGGAGGCATAATGTTTAACCACCGGAGTCCTTTAATTTAGATCCAGGGGACAATGACTGCTGAAATTTATGAAGAAAATGTCATACAACCCATTATTCAACCTTTGCGAAATGAATTCGGTAACAACTTCTTTTTTATGGATGATAATGCAAGGCCACATAGGGCGAGAAGGGTCCAGCGGGCTCTAGAAAGGGGACAAACAGTGAGATTGCCGTGGCCTGCGAGCAGCCCAGAGATGAACCCCATTGAAAACATTTGGGACACTATACCTCGGGCCGTACGGAACAGAAGAGATCCACCTACAACCCTAAATGAGCTGGCTGCAGCAGTAAATGAAGAGTGGAATAATTTACCCCAAGAAAACATTAACCACCGAATAATAGGAATACCAAGGCGTGTGAACGCACTGCTAAGATCTAGATGACACCGAACTGGTTATTAATTATGTTTTATGTTTCTTTAGAATAATTATTTTTCTTTAATTTTGATGTTTAAAGATAAAAAATTTTGTACCTACTTGTTCAACTTTCTTTTCATTTTCATATTAATGAAATTAATTTAACGTTTTGTTAAATAAATATAGTAAGAATATCCCCAATTTAAAATATATCAAAGATTGAAATAAGAAGGCTATAGTTTCCCAGTACGCCAGGGGGTCCAACACTTTTGATGATGTGTGTATTTCTAATGGGTTAATGCACCCTGAATGGGTGTGCTTTAGTTCAAATCTCACTCACAACTCAAATGTCCATGTTTTTTTATGTAAATTTAGTACTTCTAGCATAGTTTCTGCACGTAGATATGCCTTCAATCGTATAACCATTTTATTTCATGCAAGTGATTCTCAAGACAACATATCAAACCAATTTACACATCAGAATTCAACATTTTGGGATTTTTGGTGGATATGTATCTCTCAGAGACCTCCACTAAAACTGCCAAAATGTGTGATCGTAGGACCCCAAGAACATTACTTGTTTATTTTGTGGGCATGCGTTACCAAGTGACATATCGTCAAATGACACGCAACTCTGACAGATCTGTAGACACAATCGTATTAAGTCGGGAATATATTCTGCGACCGTATTTTGTTGTGGTTTTTTGTACCGTTTCATACATTCTAACAACGTCTGTATCTAATCAATTGCACCTATCAGAGTGCACTTTGTATATTTTATTATCAGAATTCAGTGGAAGTATGTATGTGAGCGTACATTTTCATCCGTATTTGGTGTAAATAGCGCTGCATAGATGGCTAGATAAATGTGCTTTATTGTCTGAAGAATACAATAATTACTAATGGCACAGCTAACTTTAAACAAAATTATATGTAGAACTCACATATAATTTAATATCCTTTACAAATTAGGAATTTTTCAACTTCATTGCGAAATAGCTTTAAATTGTTGATTCTTTTTATATCATTAGGGAGGCACATGTAAATTTTCAGACCATTATAAATTATTGAGTGTTTCACTAGTGTTGATTTAGGTACTACCAATTTTAGATCTTGTTTTCGTCTAATGCAGTGAATACTATTCAATGTCTCAAGTTCAGATAAGAGTTGCTGTTTCTTAAGAAAGTCATTATTTTAAGATTTAAAAATAACGGGCTGCATGTAGCTCTAGGATTGCTTTTAGTTATATATCTAATAGTTCGTTTTTGTAGAATAAGCACCTTTTTGAAACAAATTTGGGAATAGACACATCAATCTTCTTTCAAATAAAGCAAAGTCTGCATGAGGCTGTGCTTTTCCCAACGTTGTCACTAACTGTTATTATAATAAAGGAAATCTTAGCCACTTGATTAAGCAATCGGTCTACATGATTAATAAAATTTAATTTATGTTCAATGGTCAGTACTAAAAATTCAATGGTTTTTGTTTTGTGTATTAAATCATTATTTAAATGCACACTATCAAGGGAGTATTTAAATGTTATATATTTTAACACAAGGCAACATTGAAAGTAATAGTTATCACACCATTTTTTGATTGTATATCACTGTCAATTTTTGACCTAGTTTCATTTATATCTGGTACCGTCAGCAAAAACCATTTATGTTTAAATGTATTAAATCGTTAACATAAACTAAAGATAGGATCGGACTGAGTACCGATCCTTGGGGTACCCCTGCTTTTATATTTAATTTATTTAAAGTATAATATCTTAATACAATTTGAGATCGATTACTTAAATATATATTACACCAATGGAATGAAGTTCCAGTACAACCATGTTTATTTAATTTTTTAGTAGCATATCATTATTTACCCAATCAAAAGCTTTGAAAAAGTCACAAAAAGAGCAATTTATCGTTGAGTACAACTGTTGGAGTAATGCGGCAATAGTATCCATGGTATTTCTTTGTTTTTGAAAGCCAAATTGGTTGTCAGTTATAATTTTGTTGAATTTTAGAAATTCTCTTTAATAGAATTTGGATTATTTTTTTAATTGAGCCCTGAATTTTAATAGACTCGTTATTGCCATCAGTACATGTTCAGATTTCATTTGCGGTTTACCGTCAATAGGCGCCAAAACGTGATGAAGAATCGTGAAAATTATTTACTCTGATTTCAATAACACGGAAAATAACGCTTTTTTAACACATTTCCTGGAGTAGATTATGACTGCTGACCGACCCCTATAGATTCCTAGCATCAAAAAATAACTTACCTGTCAACGTGGGTGGACATATAACTAAAGAAGGAAGCGGCGCACAGTCGGGGAATTTGGTTTCTCTATACCTAACGTCTCTATAAAAATGATCTCCAGCTAACATACAGATACTCTGCAGGGTCTTTCCAAGGCCCATATCATCGCACAGGATTCCGTGGAGCTTATATTTGTTGAGGAATGCCAACCAGTTCACTCCTGTCTGTTGGTAACTTCGTAATTTTGCTCCGATCGGAACTGGTACCACGTAATCAGGAATCACGGATGGAGATAATAGGTGTTTTAGAAATTCGCGTTCTTTCTCACAGTGACTGCTGAGACTACTATCTGTAACGTGGTTAAAAAACGATATCTACATAAATTATAAATTACCGTTGATATTACAAAATTCAAACATCAGAAAAAGTGTATATGGCAACACTGGAAATGTAGAAATGTTGTTTCTCGGACTTCCATTGTCTATAATCATCAGGTGAACTGACGATCGTGCTCCTTCTTTGACTATTTATGCCTTCTTTGATCAGGTTGATTTTTTCCTGAAGATTTGTTTGCGTGTTACAGATGCTCCGTGAAACGGTATAAATAGTCAAGAAAGGAGCATGTTCGCTAGTTCACCAGATGACGAAAAGCCGTAAATAAAAAACCTTTATAGATAATGAATGTCACAACATTTCAATCACCCACACTGTCATGAAATTTCAAACAATTGGAAAGGTACTGCGCACCTATCGGCGATCCATCTCGCTACCACCTGTTACCAAAGTACTTAATGGATAGTTTGATGGGCAGCACCAAGCCGGTGTTGCCAATTACAGTGAATGGTTCAAAGTAGAAGTAGCCGACTGCAAAATTAACAAAACGCACCTTTGAAATTTGGTGGATCAGGTACGCTTCCGTCAAGGGGCATCAGTTGTACTAAGGTAGCAAAGCTATGAGTACCCATCAGTCTTACGCAGGAATTTTGATCGGACATCCTGCCCAGTAAAGGTACAATCAGTAATACTACGTAAGGAATAATATCAAACTGTAGGGCGTCGACAATGCAAGCTATTGCTTCTACAGCTCCTTGTCTGAAATAAATATAACAAGCAATTAGTCTCAGAAAATTATCTTTAAAAATCGTCGATCAGACCAAATATTTCGTGTAGCTTTGAAAATGGCATGGTTATTCCTTGAAGTATCCAGATAAACATTAAGAGTCTTCGATTATAGGAAGTAAGTCGGCAGTGTGAGAGAGAGAAAAGGTAACTTTTTATTTTTATTCAACTTGACCAGTTTGTATATGTATGTGTGGGCCAAGTCTTGGAACTGAATGTTGAACCAGATAATCTGAACCAATCGAGATGAAATTTTGTACACACGTTTGATTCGCACGACAATACAAAATGACATAACTTGTAATAATATGGCGGATGCTACAAAACGGCGATTCAGCATTTCTATAGTAACCCCTACGATATATGTATCGAATGAAAAGGCTTGATGAAAGAAAGACAATAAGCAATGTGTCATCATTCTAAATCCAATATGGCGACCACCGCTAAATGACGACCTACATTTTTCATAGTCACTCCTACAATATGGGTATCAAATGAAAGAGCTATTCGCCATAGTCAGCCCTATGATATAGGTAGCAAATTAAAGGGGCTTTACGAAAGAAACATAAAAGCAATGTGACGTCATTCTAAATCCAAGATGGCGGCAAAAGCAACATGGCGATTAATAAGTTCCATAGTCACAGCTATGAAAATAAAAGTGCTTAATGAGAGAAACACGATAAGTATATAACCTCATTCTAAATTTCTTATGGGGACCATGGCAAAATATAATTTTATGATATTATGATTCATATCTATCGAAATTTTATAATATAAATGAAGTAAGAAGTTTCATGGAGTTATATTAATGGAATATATGAAAGTTATATAGAAATTATTAATTCAGATATTTGAGATCATGAATACTGAGAAGTAAAAAATAAAATGAAAAAATACATTTTTAAAAACAAACTTTTATTTGGCTGCTAATAAAGTGAACTAAAGATTTAAACATAGTTTTTCCGATTGGAAATATTGAAACGATAATGAAGATCCTTCATCCCAAGTTTTCACATAAAAGTGTGTTACGTTTTGACAGCATGACTGAAAAAGAGCGTAACACGCTTTTATTTGAAAACTGAATTAGTTTGTTCTCATATTTAGGTGCTGTAAGCAGCAAAATATCAAATTTAATATCGCTAACTACAAAAATAAGGTTATCTGTTTTGCCCGAAATCACTTTATTATATATTACTTAAATATTTTAAATAGCTGTTCGTACAGATAGTATGAAGATGGAATTACACACCTATATTGCAATGTTAATTTGTATGTTGGAAAAATACACTTTGATGGCTGGTAGTAAAATAAGCACATAGGTTATTCTACAACCGAAAGAAGATTTTTGAAGAAAGTTAAACGAATAAGTCTATTTATTTTTTTCACGATGGTCCGATTCATGGTTTAGATGTACAAAATAGGAAATGTGAATATTCGAATAAGTATTCGCTTTGTCCAGGTTTCCCCTATGTACCTTAAAAATATTAAAACATGCAAAATTATAAAATATAGGATATTAATAGGTCAATTTTTAAATATATTTTTCAATAATAAGCGGTGAAAAATATTATTAATATATTTCTTGTGCTTGGGTGATATATCACTAACCCTATTTTCAGCTAGGAGAACGTAAGTCCATAAGAGTTTTTTGGGCTTTTTCCATTATTATTATTATTAATGAATTGTGAAGGTTGTTGGATATTTCAGTTTTCTAGCCCAAAAGGTACTGGAAAATTCAAATTATGGGACTTACTTTTTGTACTTACTGTAGTAGCAGCAAATACTTGTGTAAGTATGTAATTATAATTGGTATAAACTGAAAAATTGTGATTTGCACTGTACTGACTTCGCATCCGAAACAAAGCTGTCGACTGAGCAATGTAAAATGCGTAGACAATAACATTTATTATTGATTATGCTTTTTTCGAAATTCTCTCTTGACCAAAGTTACTATACGGAATATTACAAAGGTCTAAAATCAACACTGTCGGTTAACTAGGTTGAGAAAGACTTACCTATCAATATCACAGTCAGTAGTTCCAAGCTTGGGTAAAACAATGCTAACTACGTGTTCCATAACGCTAACAGAGTTCAGTTTCGCAAAAGCAGCCAGACAGCGTGAAGCAAGATGTCGTACCGCTTTGTACGGATGAGATAGCAAGACGCACAGCCTAACGAGGGATTGTTCCATGACATATGGCAACAGGGCGTTGTGCAGACTTGTACAGGTCACCTCCAGTACCTGGAACATCGATTCAGTGATATTACTTCCCATGCCTAAGCCAATTGTACAATACAAATACCGTCACTCATTTCCGTCGGTCAGCCTGTCTGTCCGCTAATCCTTGACCCCCTTAATTTGGTAAGCAGGGGCACCGGTCGGATTTTGAGGAAATATTGACACAAGGTTACTATTGTGTCAAGTACAAAAATGTTTCATAAGGGTTAAAAAATTAGGAGTTAAAGGTTGTAGGAGTTGAAGTATCTCATTTTTTGGCGTCAGTACATCCAAAGAGGAGACACTTCTTGGAATGTCTACAATCCGCCGGTCGGTCCCATTGACCTTGGGAGTCATCTGCAATATAATAGGGAAGCCGATCGCAAATTTTTTGTTACATCATCGCATACAGATATGATACGATAAAAACTGGTGACTGGTTAGGCGATTCGCATGTACCGAGGCGGTGTAGTCAAACTGCCAAAGAATGTTACGAAAATGCTACATTTATTCGGAGCTTTTTTGGTGGTTGCGTAAAAAAAGTCAAGTGAAATACGCAAACATCATCTTAAGATCAGGCTGTCTAGATGACTGACAACCATGTCAAATAGACCGAATTGGTCAAATGAGCAATTTGAGGTTAGAAAGCTTTTGAAGTCAGGTTGGCCCGCCTCTTCCGGTACTAAACTAAGTCGTGTAATATTCCGCTTATAGGGCCCTAAAAGTAAAATGGCTGATAACTCACGGCTGATAAATATACCACCATGAAAATGCGTTCATTGCAAGTGATTATCGATGAATTAATCCAAAAAGGATTATTTATCGTATTTATTTAAAAATAAATGAGAACAGAACGTGTTTACGCGCCATCAGCGAAACGGAATGTTTTTGGAGTCATATTTTATTTCTCTCTAATTTTATTCGCCTTATCTAACGGCTTCTCTTTATATAACTACCCTGCGGTATATGTTTACGCTTGCAACCCCAGTAATTCTACAGACTTATTATACATATTTCGCACATCATAGATTGCCTTAAAATTTTGTCAACACGCGAACGTTTACCTTTGTGTACAAAATCCTGTGGAGGTTTGATGTCTGATGGTGGGCTCTCTTATGGCTGGCGAGGTTAGCAACGTTACCAGGTGGTCAGTGCTTTCGGGGAGCAGGGCAGAAATTTCTAGATTGCAGCGCAGCATTTTCAATATGGTAGGGTCTATGGACTAATGGATATGCGCCTGTTTGAGTGCCTTGATCCATTTTTTTTTTTTGTTATACATGTTCTCAGCAATTTTTTTTTTAGATCGACTAACTTGTGCCTAGCGTAATCCGTTATAAAGTGATGACAGTGTTTCGTGAGAAATGTCATTTTTTTTATAGTGCCAAAAGAAAAATACTGTCAGTTTTTGTGACAATTTAACAACACAAGCACTGAGAAGGAAGACACTTCGCATTTTACCTGTAGTATCCAAAGAAGCTGTTGTGCCTCCTCATTTCTCCCATACAAAGCCTTTGGATTAAATGTCTGCGGGTTCACCGTCTGGATCAACTGTCCGACGATCATCTCCCACAACTTTGGGACGCAAGTAGGCAAATTCTCACCTAAGTTTGAAAATAAAATTTAAATTACCACTTCCAAATTTATTCAAATTTCGAAATTTCCAAAATTTTTCAAAATGCGCAAATTTTATCCAAAATTACAATTACAATTTTCCTATTATCTTCCACATTTTTTACATATTTCAAAATCCATTTTTTTTTTAAGTTTACAAATTCGAATTGTTTTCCAAGATCGTCGTATTGTCATCGGCCTTTGACACCTGTGCAAATTTTCTATTTAATCAGACTTCTTGAAATTTGTGAGAATTAGGTTGAAAGATTCCATTACATACAATACAGGTCAAGTTAAAAAAAAAACGTATTACAAAATCTCACCAAACTGCCTTGTGATCGCGGTCAGTGCAAACGTCGCCCCTCTCCTCTGGATGCAGTTGTTTCTTTGGGTCTCGTCCTCCTCTTTAAACAACTCTTCGAGAGGTATATCAGTAGCAGGGGGTCTACCTGGACCCCTGGTGGTGCTATTGGAACGTTTAAAAACGGCTCTTTCAGCATTTTTTTGTTGATTTTGCAACGTTACAATGCCGTGATAGTTCACTGGTATATCGGAAACATCACCATTTCGGGTGCTAGGCTCACCTACAAAGATTTAAAATGAAATAGACTATTTTCTAAGATAGTTCAACATGTGAAGACGTGACAATAAGTAACATCTGATTATTTAGTGACATTCAAAATACCCCATATCGTCAAGTGACAGACACACGTCAAGTGTCAGACACAACCTCATACGGCTTCGTATTTACTAGCGACACTGGTGCTTCTGTTTGAGTTTTTGTATAGCTGCAAATGTTTATGGCTATATTTCAAGTTAGCTAAGAACTGAATAAGTGTTAATCAATACTACACGTTACTGAATACCAACAGATTCACTGTTGCCAACAGTACAAAACTAACATCTTTAAAACAAGAATACTCAGATTCAATTAGACAAGTGACTGCTTTCCTCTGTTACAATACATTCATATTGATGTTCTCACACTATAGTTTCTACAGTTACCTGTATATTTTAACGGAAATAATTACACATTTTTATCAAGCCAAACTTTATATTGAAAATTTGAAAATAACGCGCTTCGGTATCTATTGGTGGCCGTCGAGAACCGCTCCTCAAGATTTTTACTTCTTCTCTGCAAATTATTTGACGCGCTGGCAAAAAATAGGCCATGACAGTCAAATCCCAGTCAATTCCATGAAGTATTACTGCTATGGGAAGCGGATCAGTGTTCACAAGGGTCGACTTTGTAAATAATGAAGATACAAGTGCCAAATTACAAAGATAAATTGAAAATAATTGAAGAAAAGGATATTTTACCACCTGGTAAAGATAGGTAGATTAAAAGAACGACTAGTAAATGAAAATCCCAGGGTAAAAAGGAAAACATGTCTTGATTGTTCAAAACATCAAGGAAAAAGAATTATGGGAGATCTGAACATGATCGAGAAAAATATATATGCTATAGAAAAGAAAAAAGGAGGACATTCTAGTCAAAATGCAAAAACTGAAAAGAAAACTAATCAATTATTGGATAAACCAACAAGATTAATAGAATTAATGGAAAGTAAAAAATCTGTGGGAGATAATATTCTGTGGACACATGTAAAAAAATAAAGTTGAACCATTGGTAGTTAAACCAAAAGACAAGAGCAAAAGCAGTACTGAAACAAAAAAATTTCTAATGCAAAAATTAAACCCTGCAGGCATAGGAGTATCTGTTAATGAAATAACACAAGTAAAACGAGAATGTTTTGTCATTCACGTAGAAGACGAAAAATCATTAGTAATATTGAACAATGAAGCGGAATTAACATTAATAGTAAGTAAACATCGGTAGTACCATTAAACCGAAAACAATAATTAAGGAAGGTGTGCGAAGCTGAAATGAAAAACGAAGAAGAATTGGTGTCTAAATTTCAAAATCAAAATTTTTCTAAAGTATTAAGAAGTAGTGAATTGAGAGTAATTCATAAATACAAGAGTATCAAAAGTAGAAGTATAAGCATCTAGTGTGATAATAGAACGTCTAATAAAGAAAATGAGTACATACTGAATAGTCATAAATTCTACAATTTTTTCACTGTTTTTCTATGTTATAAATGTTGGCGATTTGGGCATCAGGCTGAGAAGTGCAATTCACACGAAGGAAGCATGTAAGGCTGAAAAGTACACCTGCAGCAATGGTCAATATGCACCTAAAGTATTGAAGATCCCATAATCTTTCATATGACCATGATGTGTTTAACAAAAGCTGCCCGAGCTACTTAAAACAAATCGATGAAGCCAAAGAAAGAACATTCTATGAAAAATAGTAGAAAAATCATTTTATTGAAGGCTTGAGGAATTAAGGACATTATACTCGTATTTTAGCTCGAAATGCTATTTAATTCTTGTTATGTTTATGTAATATTGTGGCTTATACAACTTATTCTATTCTATTAATGTGCCTGCTTACCTTGACTTTTCTCGATCACGGGTGTGAACTCTGGATCGCTCCTAAGGAAGATACACGTATTATATATTATTTTATCGTTTGGAGAAGGATTTTTGTCTCGGCACCATTCTAGCAGCACTGCCAAATGTTCGGCGGTCAACTTCTGGAGATTTTCTTCGCTTTCGTGGCGTATGGATTGCATTAAGGGTTTCGCTACAGGAGTCAATTTCTGTGGAAGAGCTCGAAACATGACTATTGCTCCTGCTAAGGCAGCTGCAAATTTAAAAATGCTATTTTCAGAAATCGTAAAAACATGAATATCACCGAACTTTATGGAACATCTTCAAAATGCTTAGTTCGTTGATAGTATGTTTGGCATACTTGCCTATTTTCAAAGCACTGTAGAGGTGTAGGTGTTTGCACCTCTCTTAAGTAAATAATTTGGATATAATTTTCCTAGAGACAATTTCATACACAAAGTAAGGTATGACACTCATCTGTGGGAAATATGTTTCTATGTTTGTAGGTAAAGTATTCTTCCACCATACTAAATTGTTTTTACATATTTACTCACCCAAAGAACTAACATTAAGAGTAAGCTGATCATTAATAGTTTGACTAACTGAAGACTGTATACTACGTCTTCTTTCCTCTAGACTATCGAGTACTTTGGCTTTAAGCTTAAGTCTGACTAGAGTTTCTTGGGTTTCAGTCCCGGTCAGTTGTTGAATTTGCTGTAGAGTCAGCACATTCTCATTTTCTACGGTAATTGGCACCTTGTAGTGTTTCAAAGTGGCCAAAAAGTCTCGTGTCTCCTATGAATAAAGTATTTCCATTAAAACACAGTTAAAACATCGTCGCCTGAATGCAGAACTATTGTATGTCCAAATTCTTCATTTTTCAGATTTTAACACGACATTGTAGGTCATAGTCACCTACATTCCATGCAGAGGTATTGTAAGTCCCTGCGCAAGCGTTCCCCCACCACTGGTCTTGAACGATATTTTGGCGTAATAGCTTGAGGCGCGTCATTTCGCTGCAGAACTATGATAAGAGCAGATGATCACTTACAGAACGACTGTAAGACCAATGTCAGCAACAAATGTAAGTCTACTTTCACGGACTACTTTTTCCGGTAAAGCATTGTATATCCAAAATTTCTCAGAAATGTTAGGCAAGACACAAACACGAAAAATAGCTCTCCTGTAAAATATGCATTTTGTGACTTAGAATACTTCTGCATTCAAGCGACGACATATTTCATACCGATTTTGAACGTCTGTGTGTGATCAATTATTTTTACATAATTAAGGTAGGACTAATGTAACTGCCGGAAATTTTTAGCAAAGTGCCAGGAATACTAAAATTTTAGCAGCAACTAAAAAGAACTTTACTTTAGTTTCCAAGCAAATGTTTCAAGAACTAAATAGAGGATTTCAGTACACTGTGTCAACACCAGAAAACCCAGCCACAAAAAAATTACAGCGGCGCTGAGTGCATTTGGAAATAACATTACGAATTGATAATATTTACCTGTGCCAGCCTAGTAAAGCTATGTGCAATTTCATCATAATACACGCATTCATTGATACAAGAATTCAATCTTTGTTTTAGCAATTCGGGACAAGTCTTTATCTCTTCATCTTTCTTAGCCCATTCGGCGATAACTAGTCCGGCCATCAGACGCTGCTGTGCAGATTTTGAATTTAAATGGACCAGTAACACCTTTTGGTAGGCATCAAGTGGCTTCTCTATATCTGTAAGAAAAAGTTATACAGCATGGGCTCTCACAGAATTCTCTTTTATTTATAAAATAAAACCGTGTTTCAAACAGTTGAACACCACTGACTAGTGCCAATTTGAGTACTGGCATAAGCGAGAGTAGTGATACTGAAGATTTTCAAACTTCAGGCAATAAGATTCTTACATGTTTCAAAATCCATGTTACCGATTTCCGTTTGTATGTATGCCGATCTGTTTATTTGTACGACGTTTGGCGTTCATCCTACCGCGAAATTTCCGAAATCACTAGATCGATTTTAATTAAACCTAGAGATATGTGTGCTATAAGGTGGAAATATATGATGCTACATTAATTTATTTTGCATACCAATTCAATTGCAGCGGAGTTAAGAGGGAAAAATAAAGAAGTTCCAGATGGTTCTCAAACTTTCCAAGATAATTTTTTGGCTCAGTAAAACATTTTTTGGGGAACTATGATTTCGGAAGACTTCTAATACTTTTTTGCCGATTTTGAACTCATTTTTTAGGTTATGTATATTTTCACTGAGTCATTACTAGTGATCTGAAATGTAAAAATTTGGTTGGCTGTGGTTGGACGGATTGAAGCCGATGTTTAAGCTAGACCATCTAAGAAAAAAGCTAGTTATGAACATGTATAACTGTGGGATTAAACGGATCAAGTTCGTCAAATAGGTCGGTACAATTTGTTCATAATTCTTTCCTTGCCATACAGGCAGTACCGTCCATCTGACAACGTCGCGTCGTCTCTTCCCAATATCTGAAAGCATGATGCGTCACATGCGGCGGATCCGCCAGTCATGCAGGATACAAACGAAAACCGGTACACCAGCCGCGGCCGCTGTAGTCAATATATGTGTGAAATATGCCTAATAGGTGGAAAAAATGCGATACATCCTCCCCCAACAGCTAATTTTTTAACAAACTGAAAAAATAACCATTTTTGTTAAATAATATCTTCAATGATATATTTTGTAATTGTAATCATAAGATAAACGTATTGGCGTCAAAATTTAAAAAAGGCAGTAAATCAATTTAAATGCCTTTTACCTAAGTGCTGCAGTACAGCCGCCATACAAGACGTACCTGTCGAATAGTCAACTCCCGGCGCTGGCTTAACGATATAACATGACAACAGCCCCAGCATCCTTGCCGTCGCACACCTCACTTGCACAGCATTCACCTCTCTGACAGCCAACGGCGTAGTTTCGCTACCACCGATATAGAACTTCGGCGGCACTACAGTATGATCGAAATTGTTCAAACCCTCGATACCACCCTTTTTCTTCTGCACTTTGGCGTGGAAGATCATGAAGTTGTTGTCGAACGGCACTCGGACGGACTGCATACTCAGGTACAGCCAGATGGTAATGAATGGACATGCGGCGTGAAGGAGTTCAGTTAACGTTGAGTTTCTGAAAAATTAGTTTCTCGATTAATGTTTATTTATTCATTTATACATAATTGTCCAACAGACTAATCCAATTACAGAGTAATATATTGGTAATCTAACTAATAGTGTACTTTCAAGAACTACATAAAACATCAAAAAAAAATAGCTATTGAAATAGTCCCTGAAGTTTGACAAGTTACTATTGATAGACTCGAAATTAAAGTCCGAACTGTCTGCTATGGAATAATAATTATTGGATATAGAATATAGCGATGAATAAAAAAATATGTTGGTTATGGAGGTACTGCTGTAAAAAGTTAGTCCTTCTCGAATTTAAATGCTGTATACAAAAATTGAACCTTTGGAACAATGGAACGTCTTAACAGTTCTTTAGGTTGAAACGTCGCAGCAGAATAAATTGACTGAGCCCCCATTCTGAATATACATATGTCATCAGTTTAACTTTTATAAAATATTCTTTGTACATTTTCTAAGATATTTATATAATATGCCTAGGAAGGGTAGAAGCACATTTAAATTTTGGTCATACCAGCGAAATAAACAGTCGTTAGTTTTGTTCATTGGAAAAAGATTTGGAATTACGCATTATAAAACCTAGAGTCCGTGTCATTTCGGAAGTGACGCGGACTATATGGACAGAAAAGACCAACCTGTGGGAAAATGTTACACCAACTGTTGTTCTATCCAAAATCGCATTATTTACGGAATAATTAAAGATCTTAGGGTCCTTTTTGCGACTATCGTATATGGACAAACTTTACACTTGGAAATGTTTAAGAAAAGAAAGTTCTCCAAATTTGTAATTTTGGCGTAGATCGGCAAATAGCAGATTGTGAAGAATAAAAAAGCAAAGGGCCTAATTTTGATCCTTACGGCATGCCAGAGTGACAGTGTAGCTTGCTGAGCAATGTTGATAGATATGGAGAAGAAATCATTAATTTTGAATAAGTATTACGACTTACCTATTCTCTTATCCCTTGGGACTACATTAAACAGTTCGTTATAATCAAGCAGAATCCCACAGCAACCCTTTGTTACAAGAGCCAGTAGACGGCACAGTCGAGCAAGTTCGCAAGCACACAAGACCGTGCCTCGCACAGTGAACAAAATTAAATTGTGCAATTTTAGGCTTAACCAAAATTACAACCTTTCCATAACAACCAATCTCTAAATTAATTTTTAGATCAATTTAAAATTCCCGCATACTAGTTAACAATGCTAAGGCACTCCTCTAGCCGACGCACTTCCTCTCTTCCTTCCTTTCTTTCTTCTTCCCTTGTTTCTCCCCGACTTTGTCTAATATCTGGACAACCAGACCTACCAGATCTACTGACCTGAAATACCTTAACCAAGAACAAACGTCCTACGGACCGCTCTGACAAACAATGACGGATAGAAGAAGGTTACAGAAACATGGGCCAAGAAATGCCTTGTTTGCATATCTAAACTTGTCCGTCTTTAATAGTTTACTTTAATATCTCATAATCAGACTGAGACATTGAGATTAGATTTGGTATGCGCAAATATAGTATGATTTCACTGGGAAAGGAGGATATTTTAACCGTGGATAGAGGCCTTTGAGGAGCTTACAGAGAACCTATGGTTGATGGGTGTTTATCCTCTTATAACGGAGATCAGGGTATTTTATCAATTTCGCTCACTTATTTATAGCCTCATAACTTTTCCGCCCTCTTATGTATTCTTTTAAAACTTGACATGCGTAGTAAGCTTATTCTATCGAGTTGATTGTGACACTAACCGAAAAAGAAATTTAGGTCTACTAGAAAACAAGACCCTATATATTGGAATTTCTGAATTCCTACTACGGATTTGAACAGACCATAAAAAGATCCAGTATTGTTCCTTGAGCAAACAATTTTGTTTAAACTGGAAATACTGATTCATTTTGGAGCACAAGGCGGGATCTTGGGGGGTCTATTAATTTTATTATACATCATTTACTATCCAAGACTATGTGCACTAAATAAGTGTTAGATTTAAAAGAAGGTCATCTCCTTCTAGATTCTACACCAACAAAAAGATACTTCCGGACCCGAATTGAAGTTGCGCATTCACATATTAAGGATATTTTCGTTGAGGAAACCTCTCAAATTTATATGCTGCGTATCTTACCAAGCGATTATTACACAGCCGGAGCATCATAGACAGAGTACCTGGTAACACTGACCCGGTATCTTCAAGATGTGTATCGTTTCTAGGGAATAGTATGCGAGCTGATACTTTTTTAAATCGAACATATTGAAAAACTCCAAGAGATACCTTCGAATAATATTCGATAGGGCTTTGGGAAAATGACACTTGTTTTTGTAAAAACCAGTAGCGTACACTTTGTCGGTTAACATAAAGACAGACAAGTGTTGTGGCACTTATATATTCGTGACAATATTATGCACCACCCCGTGTAACCTGAACCAAATAATTACACATTCACCAGTACTGCAAAGCAACGTTTTACATAAATTCCTCGTATTGGTTAAACGCGCTCGACTGTTTTAGTAATGATTCAATTGCCAAAAATGTGTACCTTACAAGATTGTTCCACACTATCTCAGCAACATCTCTAACGTCCGCGTTTTGCTCTATCAGGATTCTCTGGAACACATGGCGTAGGGCGTCTTGTAAAATTTGAGCGTTCCATATGATACAGAAGCCATTTTGCGGTTTTTCAGTCAAAGTAGCTGCAACCAATCCAAATTGTTTAATATTGTGTATTACAAATAAAAAAGAATCATGATGAGTACACATTTGAGTAACTTTTAATGAATATGACAAAATTAGTGAGGTGAATGTACCCGGTTATATCCTTGTCGAAATTGGAACGTTTCTCATTTCTCTTACCAAGATTCAAGAATAAATAAGGCTAGCAATAGCCTAAGGCAAAATACAACTGTCAATAATCTTACCTAATGTTTGCAATGTTGCCTTCCTGACGCTAGAAGTGCTATGCGACAGAAACGGCCATAAGCGTGGTATCACATCCATCAACGGCTGTTGTGGTAACAATTGTTGACTACCAGGCACGTTCAAAATGGATGCTAAAAGTCCCATGAAGCTATTACAGGCCGCCGCTAGTTCGTCTTGTTCCATGAGCAGGTCCCATAGTTTGGTTATCACTTGTGATATGCTCTCAGGTACGAGTCGAGTTAGTTTTTCGGCAACAGGGATCAGAGCTGATGCTGCCACGGCACTAACGTCATCTACATCGTCAGATAATCCTAGAAAAAGTAAGGTTGCGACAATGATTTTTAAACTAGATTTCATAACGGAATAGAAAATATCCCGCTCTTCTCATTTATAGATTCCGGAATTTAATAAGCGGCGCAGGCAGAAACCTAAATGCCAGGACACCGCGGCTGCTATAACGATCCCAAAGAAATTTTGCGATTCCAATTTTTGAACTGCTTAAGGTTAATAGAACTGGGAAAAGCTTCCTCTTGAAGATTTTTCCACAATCTTGACACCCACGGCATATAGGAGCGATAGTATCGGTCAGTTCTGGATGTACGAACTTTGATACGGTTAGGATGGGAGGCCAAAGACAGGCGGGTCTGTCTGGAAGGCACATCGCGCGGGGGCATCATGGAGGAGAGCACTGAGTAGCAAAGCTTGTTGGTGTAGCGGTAGAAGAGAGCCAGATCGCCGACGGCCCGTCGGTGCGAAAGGGTCCCGAGACTGTCTGTTAGAGAAGAGTAATCGATCAGTCCGACAGCGCTCCTCTGGACAGCATCGAGCATAAATAATGTAGTCGGGGCAGGCCAGGCCTTATCTGGGCCTTGTATAGAGTGAGAAGGTCATGGAGAGAAAAGTACTTCTTAGCCCTAAACAAATAGCCTAGCTTTTTTCCCAACAGCTGCCGCTATTGACGAGATGTGTTCATACCTGATCGTCCTCGATGATCTGGTCTCAGACCAGCCGAAATGAACGCCCCTTTGGCAGAACGCGACCATCCATCGAACCCGGATGAGCGCTAGGACGCTTTTTGTTCGCAAAGGTACAGTACTGCGTTTGGGAGGCATTAAAATGTACAAGATTGTTGTGTCCCAAGCAGTGATAACCTCTAAGTGTCTCGTAAGAGAGGAAGTCGTCGCTAGACTTATTCTTTCCAGCTCAGCGGTAGAGATAGGTGTGTCACTCTGAATTCCTGCATGTAGAGTGCTGCCATCAGCAAAGCTGTGGATTCGGTTGGCTGACAGGAAAGGACGTCGTTGATATGTAAGAGGAACAGTGCCGGAGCCACGACCGATCTCTGGGGAACACCCGCGTTGATGTTGTCAATTACGGCGGATATCTTGCGGTCAGAGAGAACGTCAGCCACACATCTGCAAAGTTTCCCTGGGAGGTCATAGGATGGAAGTTTGCATAAGAGGGCAGCGTGCCACAGCTGATCGAACGCTTTTGTGATAACAAGAGCAACGACATAAGCCTCACCATAAGACGTAAGCTAGGAGGTCCCCTGTGGATCACTGGTGCCGGAAACTATACTGCCGGTCTCTAATCAAGCCGTGTCGTTCAAGATATTCCAGAAGCTCGTAATTTATGCACCTCTCCATCACCTTACTTATAACAGAAAGCAAAGCTATAGGCCTGTAGTTGTAAAGGTCGGTCTTAGATCCTTGTTTGGGATGGGTTAGACATGAGCAAATTTACAGTTTTCTGGGAAGGTGCCAGATTCATAAGATATCTGGAAGAGACGCGAAAGAACTGGACCAAGCTCCGCTGCGCACAATGGCAGGAATCAAGTCCAGACCAGAAGCTTTGTTGATATCGAGCTACAAGAGCACCCGTCTTGCGGTCTTATGCCTGAATCTTACTTCCCGCATAGTGTAGTGAACCCTGTGAATCGACGGCACTTGGGCGTTGGGGGGACGTTCATGGCAGCAAAGATCTTGGCAAGCACATCTGCCTTAGACTTTGAGTCGGTTACAATCGTTCCATCCTGACACGTAAGTGGTGGGAGGCTACTCTGTGAGAAGTTGATTTCAATTTGCTCAGCCAGCATCCAGAAAGACTACCATTGCGCTGCGACATTACCATGTGCCTAACTTTTATATCGTGCTGGTCTTTGGCATTGCGAACCGCTTCGTTATATAGTATTTGTTTCTGGACTTGACGTCGGGTTACCTGTTCTCTACATTGGGGTTTTGTAAGAAGGCACTGTATGCCCTGATCTTCTGCTGGCGAGCAGCATCACACAATTTGTTGAACCAGCCATTGAATCCTGGTTTAGGCACTTTCACTGGATGAGGGATGTATTCCATACTATTTATTGGTCACATTATGTATAAACAATGTACATGTGAGATCTTACAAAATAATTTATCAACTATCCGAGTGACATCATAGCATCAACGTACTCTTCAAGAGAATAGAAACAGTGGTTAAGCAATGTTTTTTAGCGATACGACATTTTCAAAAGTATGTTCTTTATTTGCATTCACGAATAAATTATATAGTTTAACGTTAGGTTTTTATTTTTAGTCATATCAGTCGCAAGTATGGATTCCTTAGGTAATTAAAATGCATGATATTTGTTAAGATTTCTGTGCATATATTATAGGACTTCAAAAATATAAATAATGGAAGTGGTAATATTTGTAAATTTTTTAAGTGATTTCTGCACGATGATCCATGACTGGAATTTGTAAATATCCTCAAGGCCGTTTTTTGTAAAATGAAAATTTTGTTAGATGCTACTGAGTTTCCCCAAAGAATTGTGCCATATGTAATGTGACTATGGAACACGCTGAAGTATAATAATATGAACAATAATAATAAATGGCCTTTATGTTTACCTCAGGGAAGTCAGGCGTTGTTTTTTCACTCAACTAAGCTCCCAAATACAAGAAATACATAATCATAGAAGATTCCACACAATAAATGTCTAAGGGATATCGATAATTGAAAACATGACATTTTACTAGCGGTGCACGGAGTATTTGGGTAGCTTACTTTTCATATACAAAGTTTTTTCATAAAAAATATAGTCCATGAAGCACCCATCATATCAGTTTGAGCTGAAATCACATTTTATTGCTTTTTATCTTTCACATAAACACTCGAAAAAGAGCAAATCTACAAATTTAAGTGAACAAAATGCAACAACAGTTGAAAAGTAACGTAAATAACGGGTATTCTGTGTTTCTGCAAAGAAGACCTCTACTCAAATGTACGCGTAATTTTGATTTGTTCCTTCCCAAATTGGTCCTGCTTCGACGTGTTAATTTTGTGTAACCTCCTCTGAAAGACAACTAAAAAACCTATAGGATATAAATGAAGTGGGCCTCGCACTGCCTAACTTTTGATGTTGAGTATATTACTTTTGAATGTCTTACAAATGTGCTATCTTTTGTAATAGGATAAACTGAAAAGTATATCAACTATAAATGCCCAAAAATTTCTTAAATATGGTTTCAATCGTGATTCAATATTATAGCTGCTCAACTCCACAGTAAAATCATATTCATACCTGTAAATATTTAAAAAACAAAACATTTGAAAATACAATGAATGCTGTACTTGTTGTGCGTTAATTAGAAACGTAAATCACTTTCAAGAATGGAATACCTTTTAAAACGCAAACATAACGTTAATATCACTTACAGTATCTGAAATAAGCCGGCACTCAGCGTTTTGAAAAAAGTAGTAATTGGTGCATCTGTAAATATACTCGTACTTCGGATGTCCCCTAATTTGGAATGTGATTATTTTTTAGAGTAGTTAATAATTGGGTTCGCAATCAATATCATCGATATTCCACTTCAAAAATAAAATGAACAGTTCATCAAACCATTTCTAAACGTTTATTACAAGCATACTGTTTTGAAAATCTGATAATACTCATTATCATTCGACTACAACTCTTGCTTTTCATCCTCAGTTTAAGATAGGGAAATAAGTAAATTTTTCAACACTTCTTTTCACCACCTACTACGTTCCACTCACTGTTCGTCATTGAGCGCGGTGTAGGCCCGTGGTAATACCATTTTGCGGCTCTGTACAAAGTTGAATGACATACCTTTCATGATATACGGAAACGCCTCTGGTAAAAATCCATCGCTCAAATCTTCTCTGACAGCCAACAGGTACTTCAATCCCAACAACCCTCCATGCCTTGCTTCCCACTCTGCATGGCTGAGCAGCTCAAACAGTATCTTGAGCACCTTGTGACAAGCTTCTGCTCTCATCAGCTTCAAAGAGGCGCAGAGCGTCTGGGCGCATGTCTCTCTTACAGGTGCCACCACAGCGTCGGTGATGAAGTCCCCGAACCTGTCGAGAGCTAGGACACACAAAAGCCGGATGGAGATGTCTTCCAGCCATATTTGGTGATACTCCTCCATCTAGAAGATATCATTTATTAGGAATAATTAAGAAGTTACTACTAAATATATTACATTTTTAGTTTGTTTAATGGCAAATAGACCACATCTACTAGACTGCTAGAATCGTCGCCATCTAGCGGTCACATGACGACTAGGTCTCCCATTGCGGACTGAGATCTATACAGTCCCAACCGGTAGCTCCTATCCAGTGTCCGCAGTGGTGGATTCTAGACACAGACAGCGCATCGCGCTGTCATTTTGATAGATTTCGCACTTTTGATAGTGTATAGTTGCTATGCTTTCGTTCATTATCCGAGAGACCAGGCCTAGACGATGCTGATGAGCAGCCAAAAAGCACGAATCAGCTGTCCATAGATGGCTGTCTTTGCTCGGACCGACGATAGCAGCATGTTTACTATATTACATGAACTGCAATTGAAAGAGTCACGAAAATATCGTAGTTTTAATGCCAGAGAACAATACAACAAGACCTTCTTATTCAAGAAACGGCCAAGTACACCGTCGATCAAGTTGTATATATAAATTATCGGTCCGTTCTTTTTTGAGAACCAACCAATGTAACTAGTGATCGTTATTGTGCAATGCTTCCGGAGTTTTTGGTACCTCAGCTACAAGAATTTGATGGTTTTGATCAAGAAACATGGTTTCAAGACGGTGCTACCGCACTTACAGCTCGAGCATCTATGGAAGTCATTCGAGAATTAATCCCGGAAAAGGTTATCTCTAGCGTTGGAGACCTAAACTGGCCAGCTAGGTCTCCAGATCTCACCCATTGGACTTTTTTTGTGGGGATACCTTAAAAGTAAAGTGTATGTTAATCGGCCTAGAACTTTGCAAGACTTAAAACAAAAAATACGGGAAGAAATTAGAGCAATTACACCTGAATTATGTTTAACCACAAGAAGATGGCATTACAGGAGTGTTTCGACCGAAATGGAAGGCACCTAGACGATACAATTTTCAAAACATGAAATACGTCTATATTGTGCGTATTTTTCTTTAAATGGAAATTTATTCCTAGACACCCAGTATAAAAATGAGAACTAAAGAACATATAATTTGTTTTCGTTGTATTCTTGTGACGAACTGTTAAAATATATATGTTTGTATATGTATGTGCTACTCCCAGGTTGTTTTAGGGCGATACTTCATAAGATGGATCCTGTTTGGTTTCACCAGAAATTCTGTTTTTTTTCAATTTTAAATATAAGTGATCAGAAACTTTTGAACGGCAGTGTATATAGCCCTAATGCGCTAAACATGCTAAATTCAATCACAGCTAAAAATGAAAAAAGCTATTTGTAGTCTGTAAATAAGTATACATGAATAAAAATATATTCGAATATTTCTTACCTGCTCTGAAGTCAGGTAAGTAGCTTTTCCCGCACCACTACCATGTACTGTTATGACCTCTCTTAACGCGGTGGCAGCACCGTGCCTAATCTCCCAACTACAACTAAACAGATCTTGGCTCAGCTGATCACAAAACCACTCCAGTGGCCAATCCGTATTATCTCCTTGTTCTATATCTAAAAAAATAAATGAAGATATCTCCAAAATAAAAATTACACAAATGAATTGACAGCGAAAATGTGGTTTCAATTACCGATTAAATAGGAAAAATTCTTGCCTGTAGTGATCTAAGAATTTATCATTCAGGTCACGAAATATTTTTCACACGCAGGCTAATTCTCAATGTTAGATTATATAACTCTAAAGTACCTTGGTTCAACATGCTCTCATCGTTTTCAGATTTCATTCTCTTCAGTTCGGGTTCGTCCCCGTTGTCCTCCGAGTTTTCTTTTTTTTGTTTACTCACTGCCTGTCTGGCTTTTCTTTTCGCCCTGTTTATTTCTCTCGAGCTCAGTTCTTTGTCTCTGCAGTCTATTACATCACTTATGTGTTTCTAAAAAAATAATAAAATCACTCATTTTATGCAGACAGCAAAAATAATTAAAAATTCAATTAATATATTTCCATGAGATTAAGATGCTATTTGGTTAAAATGCGTTTTTTAGATCTCAATGAAGTCTGCAAAAATATCTACGTCTACAAGTTTCACAAAAACATAACCAATTGACGTAATTTGTCAAAAGTCGAATAAAAAACAAATGGACCAATCTATGTTTTATCCCCTGAATGACTGAAGGCAGCCATGTGATACTGCGTCTGCAATTTTTTTTAAGTAAAAACTGTTCTGTAGTGGAGTCTACTTGGATATAAAAGTGAACAATGAATTTTTGGAAAATCTAATAAATCCTGCCAACATTTACAATACAAGATAATAATTTGCGAAAATAACATTACCTTGTGTATTTTGACATACTACATCAGGCCAATAGAGAACTAAGTAAGAATACTAGAGTATACACAATTCAAAAATTGTTTATTGGTGCTATTGTATTAAAACAGAAACTTTTTGTGATAACAAAAAAGCTAAGCACTCCCATGAAATATTTTTCGTATCAGTCTATAAATAGGCTAATTACAAAATGCAGGTATGCTAGACAAAACATACTACTTTATCACCGTGCAATTAGAAACAAAACAAGATAAAGGACACCAATTATGTGCAATTATGATTGCTTGCGAAAAGGTACAATGTTTTATCAGTGAGTTTTTTTAAACCGCTAGTATACAAATATATAAATAAAATTTCTAATTGTTGTATAATGTTTATGCCAAATAAAAATATAGCCCAAAGCTAGTCAGATTATTTTAATATGAATGCCCATCACAAACCAACAAGACAAAGGAATCAGTATACGGACTGTAAGAATTTCGTTGGACAAATCTGCAAGTTGCATATTGAGGTACTGTATAAATTCTCACGTATAACACATATGCCAGTCATGTAAAAAATATTGAAGATTGTCTTCAGTCCAACTACCTCTGTGACTCTCCATTCGCTCCTGAATATTGAGTACTGAAGCCTCCATTAATAAAATGAAATACATCTTTATGTATTGTTTACGTAGCTATATCGTAAAGAATTCCAGTAAACGACTTTGTTTAAAAAATATATACGGCGGTACAAATGCTGGGAAAACCTTAATAATAATAAACGATCTCTAAATAAATAATGACTAAATCCTCTCAACACAACATTTTGTTTTAGCGTCCTTGAAATCCTAAAATGACACAGAAACAATATTAACTTTTTTCCCTCATAAAGAATTGCTTTTTGTCGCATTCATTTCGGGCCACCCTGTATGTGCAGTTTACTATAATAGTGAACAAATTAATTTGTATGAAAACCGCATTGTGCTCGAAGTTTCCTTTCCTACTTTTTGAATGTATATTAGTTAGTTTTTGAAACTGTTCAAATGTATCAAAATAGCGAACATAATACAATAAACATGATGCTGCTTAATGACATTCTAATATTCCAGAATGTGAGTCTTCAGATAATTTTATTATTGATTTTATGAACAAATTTGTAGAAAAAATTTGTTTTTTGTATTTGAATATCAATTATTTTTAATTTTAGCGTATTATAAGAGGATGAAAAATAATGTGATTTTGCGCCACCAGTTGTGTCGCTGCAAACACTTCTTTTGAAAAACATGGTACACCATTAATATTTTTCAATGTGAATTTATTATTATTTTTTTTTTTGATCAACTGCTCCATTTTAATCATTAACGGTGCAACATCGCAAAAGATAGTAAGAGAGAGGCTTTTTACGTCGAAATGATTAATTTAACCAGAAAAAATAATCACTTGTCGTATCAGTTGTTTTGAAGAAATATCACGAGATGTGTATGCACGGAAATCACATCTGGAGCAATAGAATAACTTTGCACATTAAAATAAGTCATTTTATATTATTTTATAACACCCCAAAAATAAAAATAATACCATAAAGTACTTGAAAATATAAAATAAAAACATTTTTTGTTCATATAAAACGTTCTTCATAAAATTATAAGCGGAATCACAAGCGCATCGTTAGGGAACACCCTTTTGGATCTACCATAGAGGCAAACAATAATATAAATATTTTCCATGATACAACTGTAGAATCATTACTTGAACATTCTTTCTCAAAAATGAGCAACTGATATTTTTCATCCAACCTTAAACTACACCAAATCATGCATACCTAATAAACTACAATACTTACCTTAACATCCTCTGAATGTTCCTGTTTAACACTGTTTATGATCAAATCATCATTACTGAATAATGCACCCGTGTCGAAGCCCATTTTGGCAGCTATATCTAAGCCCAGTCTTGCGTTTAACAATTGTCTCTGCTTGGCTAGTCGCTCTTTGGGATCCAACACTGACAAAAAATAAATACACTAGAATTTTAATTTTTTTAATTTATTAAAGTTAGAATTCGAAAATCATGAAGAAAATTTGTTTCCAATGCTACAGCCAGAACGTGAAAGAGTTACCAAGATATGACCAAAAAGTCAAAATAAACACTCAAACACTTAATTTTACGTTTTAGCACCCAGGGTTGATATTAAAGAAAACCTTAGAAAACAGATACTTTGGTGTTTATGAACGACATTGTATCATCTGAAAGTCCAATGAATATCGTTTAAACTCGACATTATTGGAGATCTGACTGAAAAATTTGAAAGTTTTGTGTTCATAAATACAATTTCTACAGGCCAACCATCCCAAACTCATTTCTAACAACATTCAATTCTAGAATGCATAAGCAGTACAGCGTCAGCTTACTAGGTACAACTACAGGGAGACCAATATATAACTGACCGATTTGTTCCTCCAGAACCCTCTCAACTAAAAAAAAAAGATCAGTTTTCAGGTGCGTAAAATTACTGGAATTGGAAGCGTATAAATATACTAAATGAGATATACTCCCTACAACCCCGATTTTCGTCACCAACAATTTTTTTTTAAATGATCAGACGGACATCAAAAAACGAAGTTTGAGCGATTTTTATTTTCAAATGTTTTTGCCCCTCGCATTGTAGCAACCTTGTGTGAAAATTTATAAGTTCCAGCAATACTTTCCAAGTTATAGGCGGTCCACAGATTCGCGAACAGACCGACGGAAATGAGTGACATGGTTTTTCATGATGCACGTCCAAAAAACAATATCTCATTTTCGAAATTTTTCGCGATTGCAACACTTCCTCGCCAGTAGGCGATAATTTTGAGAAGCTACTCAAAATATTTGTCCCGATACCTAATTGTTCATACATAACTCCCACCTTTCCATTAAATATAAAAACATGGATCCATTTTATTTTATTCTAAAGATACCAGATTTATTGATATTATTTTTCACTCTTACAAGTAATCCTTAAGTTTCTCACACTACACAAAACGTTTCAAGCGAATATCTCAATAATCAATATTTACATAAATTATCAGTGTTTAACGTATTCCCGTGATTTTACAACACTTGTGTTTGTACAGGAAGTGAAAGAAGATTGCGTTTATATTGGCATTTTAGTTATCAGAATCACATAAAGTTGGAACGATTCCTTTCCGTAAATTTATTGAATGCTGATAATGTTAAATTACCTGTTTTTTCATCTTCCATATCAAACTCCTTTCCTTCAGAAGCCATAAGATGCGTGCTATTTTCTAAAACCTTTTTTATCTCGAAATGTTCGAACCTCAGTCTTCCAATGCACGACGAAAGGTGAGACTTTTCGTCTATTTCTGGAATTCAAACACATGCTTAAGTGCGATAATTATAGCAAAGTCCCTTGAAATATAATTTCATTTCAGGGCCAAACATTTTAAGATGCTGCAGGATGCCTCCATCACGCCACCGAAAGGGCACTCTCTCATTGGGCTTATCTCTATGTAACCCTAGTAACCACTGTTTTTCTAAGAATAATTAATGTAAGCACCTTTAGTCGTCATCTGCTTGTCTATGCGATCCGAAAGGCCGTTCGACATTGGTCACTGCACGTTGACCGAATTCAATCAGTCCTGTTGTCCAGCAACCAGTAAATGTCAAGGAAAGGGGAAGATACAGTGAAAGGGAGCAAAGCAAAGAAAACAGAAGTGCATTAGTTCAAGAGCAGACACCAATACTTTTCGACGTGGTACACGGATTAGTTTTGAGTTGCACTAAAACAAATTTTCATTCCGGTTTTGTTAGAGTGTAATTTTGAGTCTACGAAAAACTCGCGATCACAGTGTGAGACGCGGCCTTGAATGAGTTCGACCTTCTCCACTCAGTAATAGCTGCGTCTACTCATTGCGAGTATTTATTTATCAGTGCATTGTTAGTTGAGATCAGACGTGTGGAATTCTAAAAATATGTGAAATTGAAGCACCAGCTTTTAAAACTTTGAAAAGTCCAATTAAACTGCACTAAAACATGTATTTTTCACTTTCGAATAATTGTCTCGGTTCGGAGTTTAAAAATAAACTATAGCTATTGAGATTATTTGCTGACAAAAATATCGATATTGAATAAACCAAACGACGTCCGAAAACGTTGTTATAATTCAGTAGTTGTCCTAAAGCTTGAAAGCTTTTTTTCAACTTAGCTCAAGACGTGATACAAGGTTGAACGATATTCTGATCACACTTCATCAAAAAATCTGTTGCATTGATTAACACATAGTCCACTGAAAAATACCCAATATAATATTAAAAGCCGTGCCGCAAGAAAATAGGCACGTTTTATAAAATTGTTACGAAACGATTCGTAGATAGGCCTTACTCAATGTCCGAACAACAATTGCAGATGATATGTTTGGATTACCTAAATGGGCATTTCATGAATCCCCGGACTTACTCGAGTTCACGATGTCTAAATTGAATGAAGCTGCATCAAAGCTAAAAACGGGGAAGGCACTAGGTTTGGATCAAATACCGAATGAAGTCGTAAAATATTCTAGGAAATATCGAAATTTGTGCTAGCCGTGATGAACGATTGTTTGAGGATGGGAAAGTTTCCTAAGTAAATGGAAGGAAGCTGGCTTGGTCCTCATTCAGAAAGTTCTGAATCCTGGCGAAAAGGAAGTAAAGTACAGACTTTTGTGCATATTCAGCTCACTGTAACTGACTAATAGAAGGGAAACAAAGAGATCATATCGAAAAAATATTGTCTCACTCGCAGTTTACGTTTAGAAAGGGACGTTCACTATTCATGCAGTCGACACGCTGTTACAGCTGGCAGAATCGGCGAATAGCGGCAGCTATAGCAATAGGATAATTTGTTTAATGATAGCCTTTGATGTAAATACTGTCTTTATTACGGCCCAGCGGCAGAGGATAGTATGATCGCCCGAACAGCTGGACAACCCTGCATGCCTGCTCAACATGATCAAAAGCAATTTCGATGAAAAAAACGCTGATAGTTGGGGAGACCAAAGACCTTATGGGGTAACTTCTGAGGAATGTCTTCTACGATGGTGTTTTAAGGCTTAATATGCTGCCAGAAATCAACTTAATTGGGCCGAATAGTGAGAAACGACGGATTCTGGCTGGGGTGTTAAATTTGCATAGGGCTCCAATCTATGAAAAGACATTGAAAGATATAAATATAGGCAACAGGTGCCAGCAGAGGGGAGTACTGCACGTGATCTGCGACTAGAGAACGGTGACGAAGAGGGCGCTGCTGGTCATGGCTGGAATCCCGCCAATTGATTTGATGAAGGTGAAGAAAGATGCGTCCTCTATAAGACGGGTACAGAAGGTAAACGTGATTAAACGGAGGCGCTATATATTAAGTGGCAGAGAAGATGGGACACGACTAGCCATGGAGCATGGACTAGCAAACTGATTGCAGACATTAAGTTCTGGCTTGACAGGGGAGATGTGCAGATGGATTTCTATACAGTACCTTACGAGACATTAATGCTTTGTAAGCTCCCTAGGGCGGATAAGAGAGAGGGAATACGCAAACTGCACGTACCATATCATTGCAACGAGGAGGACACCCCTGACCATCTACTCGAATGCACAAGAAACAACTGATAGTGACGCTCAGTAAGAGGCTCACTGCTGTCAACTTTGCCAAGCATGTAGGCGAGGGCAAATGGGTTAAAATTCAACCAGTAGAGAGGCGAAGGATGCTGAGCAAAGTGTATGTGATGAGAACAGATAGAGGGAAACCAACAATAGGTTTCCCTTTCTGATAGATATGCACATACAGTAATGGACAAAAGTATATAGACAAATATGAATATTTACCTAAATAACTTTAGAAAACGAATTCATACTTCATTGCTCCATAAACAAATTAGTAGAAAAACTAAATTCCTTGTTTTTACATTATCTGCAATGAACACAATACAAGTCTGGATATAAGCACTTTTTTATGAGGGACAAAAATATGTAGACAAATTCTTTTCAACATTAGTTTAGTACAGTTTCGTGTCAGACGATGATTAGTTTGTGTTTATCAAGTATTGTGGAATAAGTTGAGTGATTTTCAGACCATGCGCGTGGTCCAGAAATTTCTCTCGATGTGAAAACTAAGATCACTGAGTTTATACAAAGATTGTCAACGTCAAGTCGACATTGCCAAAAATTTGAAGCTGAAGCGTAAAGCAGTTTTGGCAATATTGATATAAGCAAAAAGGTATCTTGGAAGCCTCTAAGAGAAGTGGTCGGCCTAGAAAAGTAAATGCTAGATCATTTAGATTAATAAAAGTAGTTTCGTCGAAAGATCCATTTAAAACCCCAAAACAAATAAAAGCCGAAATCGAGACAAAAGGAATTGTCAGTGTTTCTAAGAAAACTATAAGTAGAAGATTAAATGATTTGAAGTCACGTCGCCCGAGTAAGAAGCCGATAATCTCGAGGAAAAACCGTAAGGACCGATTACAATTTGCACGCTTGCATCTTTGGAGCATCTGTGACTGGAAGAGGGTATGTTTCAGTGACGAATTCAAGTTCATTATGTCGGGATCAGATGGTGTTCATTACGTTAGACGCCCTAGTGGACAAAGATTGAACCGCAAGTACACTTTGCCCACTGTCAAACATGGAGGCGGGTCTGTTATGGTTTGGGGGTACTTTTCGGGGTTTGGGATGGGACCTTTACATAAAATAGATGGCATTATGGATAAGTTTGTATACACAGACATACTAAAGCATGTCATGTTACCCTATATGGAAGACAATATGCCCTTAAGATCAATCTTCCAGCAAGATAATGACCGGAAGCACACTTCAAATCTCGCAAAGAAATTCTTTCTGGATGAAAAAATACCAGTTCTCAAATGGCCTTTACAGTCTCCTGATATAAACTCCATTGAAAATCTATGGGAATACTTAGATGAGCAAATACGAGCTAAACATTATTCAAACAAGGATGAACTTTTTCCCGCTTTAGAGCAAAAGTGGAGACAGATTGATGAATCTTATATCAAGAAACTTCTACAATCTATGCTGAGAAGATGCCTCGCGATGATTGATAATAATGGTTATGCTACAAAATATTAACACAAACATGGTTGGTTTTCTATAATTCAATGAACTTTGCTTCTTTTTTCTATAATTGTTCTGCTTTGTCTATATATTTTTGTCCTTCATAGTTCGAGTTTTTTCAATTAATTTTTTATTGAAGGGAGTCTAATGAATTTATTTATGTATAAGTGAGTATTATGCCATAACGAATTATGTATACAGGTTGGTGTATTAATAAAACAAGTTAAAAAAGAAATACAGCACAATATTAATTTGTCTATATACTTTTGTCCATTACTGTACGTACAAGTTGTGAATGTGTAGAGGGAGTATATGGGATGAGACAAATACATTTGGTATGAATCATGGTGCAACACTATCCGCCATGATGAGATGCTGCCATGCACTTCCGTGGTGGGATGCATGGAGTTTTACTGGGTATACCATATATTGGAGAATTTCACAGTGCGGGGAGGACAGGCTGATAAAGCAACTGTCATATTTTCTGCCCGAGAGTGGATGTAAAAGCTTTCCCCTGTCAAAAAAAAAATAAGCACGCACAGTGGGTCTGCCAGCCGTTGCTTACAACTTACAACTATATAGCTGTCGACCACCGTCTTAAGGTGACTGCATTGCCATTATTTTTCAGTCATTGGGAAATTACGAGAATACGAATTATTATGACTAATTACATCGGAATTTGAGGAGTGATAACTGCTCGGAAGTTTGGATAAAATTGTATTTAAAGGAAAATTGAGTATGCTTACATTACTTCTAAGGGAATTACTGCAATCCTAATTGGCAACATGGCTATGACGATGGAAATAGTCAGCAAACGTCTACATATACCATATGGTTGGGCATATCCTCGGAGAATACGTTAATCAATGCTTGCATCAGATATCGTACGTTTACTTCGACGCAATATCATACGACAAAATTACTTTTTACTGTTGATTATCCTCAAGTCAATAAAAACCTTATCTTACCGAGTCTGATAAGTGCCTTGCATTTCAAAGTTTTATTATATTTTCAAATATGACATATTGCAATCCAGATTCATAATTAAAAATTAAGTAGCCAATCTTAGCATATACAGTGTTTACAAAATATAATCTTTGAGAATACCACAATACTGTAACAAAATTAGAGAGAAAGGAAAACACTAAAATTCACTTCCTTATATCCGAGCTATATTTTTTATTTAAAAACAAAAATTTGTTTCTGATTGATAGTATATTACTCCTGACATTGCCAACAAAAACAATTTTTTGTGTCACTGGCTAATCAGCTGCCCACGTCAAATTAACGTCAAGTCGATTTCATGATCTACTATTTACTCTTCCTCAGTTTAGTCACCATTTATAACAACCAATTTATTTATTTATTTCGACGGTAAACCATTTTAAAATAAAAAAGTGAGAAATATGAATATTAAACAGACATAAATGTTTATACAAGATGGCTTTACATGACAAAACAACTGTGTATTATACCTAATGTATCATATTAGATAATTTTCAAATAGAAACATAAATTATTGCGATAATGCAAATACAAATGTCTATCTAGTTAGCATGACTAATTGACTTCTAAATTTCAAAGCTGTCAACATATATCTATGAATTATTAGTAACTGGCAACTGTGAATTTGTTTATGAGTAAAATACGTCAAGCTTAACAAAAAACTTTTGTTTTACGGCTACAGCTCCGAATCTAGTTTTTTAACGAAATGAGTTTTGCTGATAAACAAAATTCATCGATATGTTATAGCCTTATGTTTCAGAATCTACCGCGCTTTTAGTGAAGCCTGAGACTGCCATCAAGTAAAAAGTATTTTGGCGCCAAGAAGCTTGAGTGTTTTTACTTTTGTCTATGAACAAGAAGTAACAAAACTTGAGCATCAAAATCCAAACGGATTTTGCGCCAAAGCTGTGACGTAATAAGTACTAGCGTAATGTAATAAGTTTTGCCACACCATGTACTTATAATGTGGCTCTACTTCTTTGATGGAGCTTAAGAGTTCCATCACACGTGAGGAAAATAACTTGTTTCTCTGAACTTGACAGATTTACATCAAATGTACAGTCATGTACTATCGGTATCTTGATTAAAAATCAAATTTTATAGGTTAATTCCTTCGGCGGGGAATACAAAGGATTCAAATTCGCTCTCTTCCAGTGCACGAATTTCAAAAACGAGGGTAGACTGCATTCTCCTTGAAAATCGCATATAAATTAGTTCTGCTAATAAAACTGTACGCCATTGCAGCACACTGACACGCGCAACATAGGAATGACAGGATTCTGCGAGAATCCCATGATCTTCAGGCCAAATGAAACTGGATATACAGGGCGTTTCAGAAAAACGTGCCAATATTTCTAGGGTAGAAAGTAAATCCAGAAATAACAAAAAAAACTTCCTATAAATATGGGTCCAAAGATGCTCCCCTACCGAGATATAAGGTGATAAAGTTTTATTTACGAAACTGAATAAATGTATATCTAAGGTAAGGATACTGATTTGAGATTTCAGACGTTACACAATAAACACACAGTTTTGCAGCCCAAACTAAACCAGGGACGTAGAAACGGGGGTGCCTTTACCCCTAGTAGGAAATATTTTCTACGCCACTGACTTTTTGGAGAAAAGTAGTACATCTCATAAAATACCATTCTATTCTCCATAATTTTGTCTCTTAAGGATTTTTTGTCAGATCGCTCGTTTTGAAGATATTTAGGTTTGCATATTTGAGGTAAAATGCTAAAATATTCTTATGACACACACCGCTGCAGGGGAGTATTTATATATTTTAGGAATACTCGTATATGGGTATTATGTACCACTTTAGCTTTCTGCCATGCCTTTGTATATGATAACTTAATTTTTTTATATAACTCATGTATATATCTTAAAAATCTCAAAATGAGTCACACATGTTTTCCCTACATCTACCATGGAAACAGAAATATGATACATTTATTTTATATAGTTTGATATGTAGAGGTCGAAGATTAATCGTACTTAAGGGAACCTACCTAGTCACGTTTCGATTCCGCCTTTTGAAACGAATGACTCATACATTTTCATACAAACGTCTAACGAAGGCGGAGGAAGTATAGAGTCAATCTAATCGACGCCATTTTTGTTTGTTTTCCTTTATCAGCATTATCCATATGCATGTATTTTGTTGTATTTGTAGCTTATCAATTATTGAATTTGCTGAATATAACATTGTACAACAATATAAAAAATAAAGCAGAATGATTGTATTGCACATTAACTTTTTAGGATAAGAAGTTAACGCATAAAATATTCTCTCAAGGTCCCCTACCTTGCAACTAATTTTATTGATTAGTTTCTCGAAATGAAGTTAAATACTTGAAATTATTTACGATTTCGATTACTTTATTTTCCATTTTCACTTTTAATTAGTAGCGATGAAAAGAAAAAACAAATTAACTACCACCTGGATGACAGATACACATAAAATAATATTGTCATTGAGCCGTTTTACACACAAGAGAATTACTCCGAAAATTATGGTCATAATTATGCCGAAAATTTTTGCTGTCGTATTACACGTAAAAGAATTCTTGTGAAAATTTTCATGGTAAAAATATAAAACCCGTTCTATATTATATGCGCGAGAATCGGCGCAGAGGGTTATTTCCGTGCATGTCAATATCAAATGTCAACGACAACAACAACAACATAACCTCACTTAACATTTGTGGGAGTGGTCCTGTTCGAGTCGTACGAAGGAGCGTTTATTGTTATTGTTTATTCATAATGTCGTGGAATCGGGAAGAATTTACAATGTTGTTGGAGGAGTACCAAAAATGGCCAAACCTGTACAAGCTGAAGTCACCCAATTACAAAAACAGAAATTTGCGGCGTCAGGCGCTGGATGCGATAGTCCAAGCATTGAGAAGTTTTATAATATTAACCAAGATCTCGATTTCAAAAATAAATTTAAATTATCGACGTCTGTTGTCTTTCCGATTATATTGGACGTCATACCCGTTAAGGTTATGTCCATTTGAAAATATAACTCTAATGCGCAGGCGTATCATATGAATTATTCCGAAATTTTGTTTGCTTGTGTCATACAGGTTGTAGAGAAAATCTTCAATATTTTTTCCATGCAAATTTTCAGCATAATTATGACCATAATTTTCGGAGTAATTCTCTTGTGTGTAAAACGGCTCATTGTCAATAATTTGTACTTTGGGAAAGAACACCTTGGTGTTGAAACCCCAGTAAAAAGTAATTAATACAGATGTGGTTTCATTTAGCTAGAAGAACATGGAGCTGTATCTGAGACATTATAACGTCGCTGTGAATATTTAGATTATATTATCCCTAACCAGATTTAACGTGAACTCCCTCAGGATTCCATTGTGGCACATTGCTGGCGATCGCTCTGACCGCCTCAGCCGCCGCTATTCGAGTTTCCCAGTTCGAGGATTTGAGGTAAACGGACGTCCTGGATAGCAACGTCTTCAGTTCATGTGGATGGAACTTCTGCACCTCCCCCAGTTGCTTTGCGGCCGCGGATCTGGTGACGGAAGAACTTCCCGTCTCCAGCAGTACAAACAGTCTGTCTAATCTGAAACAATAATTGAGGTCGAAGGGCGGATATCACCAGTGCCACATATGGGCAGCAACCTAACTGATTTGCTGAAGTTTCGATTTTTATTAAAATGTATAAAGTATTGTATCCTTATTTAATGCAGGAACTAACGTGACAATCGGTGAATTTCCAGATTCATCAGGTAGACCTTTCCAATAGAAGAAGACTGATATCACATACTATAACGTTTCGATGATTTGTTGTCGAGTTATAAGAGACTCAATGTAGAAAAACGATCAACTTTAACCGTCTGCCAGTCCGCCATTTTGAAGTTAATTATTTTATATTTTGGCATTATAAAGTACTCATGAGGAGCTACAGAATGATTTATCGCGTGACTCAATCCCATTTGAAAAAACGTTCCACGCAGCCACAATCTTGGAATTTTCAACTGTTATTTTTGTGTTAAAAACGCAGTGTACATATGATTTGTCTCCATGTGTTTTATTAGAGATCTGAAGTAGTATGTGTTGCGTCCATGTGCTCATATAAAATACTACGTTAAAAATTCAAAAATGAGTGAATTTTAAACAAAATTATCAAAACTGAGGACTTTAGGCTCTTAAAAAATAATCAACTACTGAAATAAAAAGAAAAATGTCGATCAATGTTTATACTACATATCTTTTTAAAGATTTAAATGTAAGAACTTTACAGATGGGATCCATCTGAAATTTGGATCATATTCAAGGTTAAAAACTCCGCGTGTAGATCCTGTTCCTTTATTTCTTACAAAAAATGAAATTTGCCTTTTTCTCAAACGAAGCTAGTCGAAATTTTATAAGATACGTCTGTACCTATTTCAATAAAACTTAATAAAAATCGATTTGAGCCCTATATCTAAAAAACAAACCATACTTGGATCTATGTTTATATATGTGAACTTCTCTCTTTAGAATCTCCCAAGAAAGCATCACTTGTAGTTTGACTAAGCACTTTATTAACATCCTCTGAGTACTGAGTAAAAGATGACAGATCTTATTAAAATATTAATTTTTGAGTAACCCCTTAGAAAATTTAAAGGTAATGATATGGTTCTTTGCTCATAGCCAAGGACTAAATGCATGAATAGTCTATTATTATTTTATGTCTGTTAGAGTAATGTATTGATTATGTAAGAGTGCCGAGGAAATTTTGGCTGTTACTGAAGATCTATAGTATGTTGCTTATCCCATAACGGCAGCAGCATTATTCATACCTTTGGCAATGCGATAATTCCAACTATCCATATATAAGCAAATACAGTGAAATTCCCCTTCCCAGGCACCCCTCTGACAAGGACAATTCCTTTAAACCGACAGTTTCTCATGGTCCCGACCGACTCTCATATAATTTGCATTGTACATATATTAACTCTCTCTCTCTCTCTAGGACGGACATTCTCTTGAACAGACTCGAGAAAATGTCCTCCTAACCGGACAAAAACCAAAATAAAAAGAAACGTCTTGTCTTTTTTTTTCGAGTAAACCGGGGATATTCACCAACTATAATCTTGCCTATGAGGTGCATTTCTACCGGGTGTGAATTAGGGACTTGTCCGAGTTGGTCAGGGATTTACCGTTCTTATTCTTTGGGTTCACGCTTTCGATTACATTTCCATATCCATTCAGTATTAATCTGACGTCTATACAGTGGGCGACACATTCATTGTCGAAATGGCTCCAAATAGAAAAACTGATGCTTAAACAAAAAATTGAGACTGTTGATGTTCACAATAAGGAGAAGTTAAGTGTAAGGAACTTATCCAAGCGTTTTAATATTGGAAAAACAGAAGCTGCAGATATAATTAAGCATAAAGAAATCCTTCTAAGGAAATGGATGTCGAACAGCAATTTGAATAAAAAAATAAGCTTTTTAACGGGTGATGGTTCAAAAACTGACAAATTGTGTTATGACTGGTTTATAGCAGCTCGTCATAAGGGGATTCCTTTGACACGTATGTATGCGTATTATTAGTTTAGATATTTTTTTTTTCTATTAATGCGTTGATTTTCTTTACATATCAATTCTAGAGATAAAAAGGGTGAGATTATCAATAGGTTTGTCGTGACAAAACGGAAAAAAAGTATTGTTTTTAGGTCCGCTAATAAGATGCAAAGCAAAAGAAATATCCGATTCTCTCTGGGACATTCTACATTCAGTGCTTCTTCTGGTTGGCTCAATAAATTTAGAATTCGCTACAATATAGGTTTTCGAGCGATTTCGGGATGAGGAGCTTCGGTTACTGCTGAAAATGTTTAATCGTTTTTGGAAAAATTTCCTTCTTTGATTAAGGGATATTCACATTATTTAGGGCTCTACCCCACAAAAGGCTCACATTAAAGAAGGAAAAATGTGTTGGGAGTAGGTATCTCAGAAAGGTTTACAATTTTGAACTGTGTATATATGGCGGGTGAAAAAGAAAAACTCCTAGTCATTGGTAAGGCAGCTTTTAAAAACATTAACATAAATGACCTGCCTGTAAATTGGAAATGCAATAAGAAAGACAAATTATGACTGAGTGGTTGCAAGACCGCGATTGGAAAATGGCTAAAGAACAAAGAAACATTTTTTAGACCATGATGGATCTCATCCAAAAGATATCTGCTTAAATGATATAAAAATCTTGTTTTTGCTCTCTAATTGTACATCAGTTTGTCAACCACTTGACCAAGGGATTATAAAGGGTTTTAAAACTTATTATCGAAGTCTAATATTCAAACACCTGCTGGTAAACATTGAAACTGCTGGTACAGCTTTTGAGAGAGAGAGAAAATTATGACAATGCATGCAGTTTATTTGGCAAAAACCGCTTGGGACCAAGTAACCAAAGAAACAGTGTAAAATTGCTTCCACAAAGCATGATTAAAACATGAAAATATGCAAAGTGGAAACCATTTAAATGAGACTGATACACCTGTCCCGGAAGATGACCTACCAATGTACTTTCATATATACTCAACAATAAGAATTTATTGAAATTAACTGATAATGAAAATCTGTATGATTTTTTGAACTTAGATGAAAGTTTGTATGTTGAAGATCCAGATTCAGGCCAAGAAGTTGTAAATCCAGATGAAATATAAAAACTTTTTGAAGATTCTGATGATGATACGGTTCCAGTACCAAAAGCTATTCGAAATTATGGTAAAGCTATTACCCTGACCAAGCAGCTCAAAAGTTTTGACAAAAATCTTTGGAGCTACTTTCTAAATTAGAAATACAATTTCAAAAAGCCACTTTAAAGAAAAAGAAGAGACAAACGACAATATATGAATATTTGCGTGCTTAAAGTCAATTTTTATTTCATTGTTTTGTGTTACTACATATACGTATGTATGAATATACATACTTTGTATATATCTAAAGATAAAAAACCTTTTTTCATGAGTTTAAAGTTTTTTGCTTATTTTAAAAACATTTACATACATATAAGTTTTAAATGTCCCAGTATCTTTAATATATTCTGTTTCCATTAAAAACAGGGTTTTTGTTGTATTTCTTTTATATGGATAACCCTCTTGAACAGACACTTTTAGTCAGTACTTTTGGTGTCCGTCCAAATGTGATTTCACTAATATTTAGTTTAGTTACAAAAGTGACGCCGCTGGTTCTATCATTTTGTCTTCAACTAAAAACTTACGAAATATTCCCAGGTGTTCTCTTACCTTAGCTTTTAGAGAACTCATTAGTTCAGTACTATGAGAGAATACTTTAGAACACATTTTGTTGATGGTGTGAGTAGTTACGTTGAAAGATATTTAAAATGTCTGACAAAAATTTTTAGCTATTGACAGTTGATTGTTTACCAATAAATAAAAATAATACATATCACTGTAGGCTCTAGAAGAATAAAAAAATCAGCAATCATATGAATAAAAAAATGGTCTATTAAAATGATATACCTAGTTTAGATACAGTAATTTTAATGAACCTAAAGAATATAGAATTTCCATATGTTGCAGGGGGTATTATTTAATAATTAATGTTATACAAGATAATGTGTATAACAAACAAAAGTTCTAGTTCAAATCACCTTAAAATAACGTGGAAATTATCAACATGGTGCTACAGCACTAGTGAAACATTCTTAATTAGAAAGTAATTAATAATTATTTCCATAAATGAAGAATGTAATTTAATTTATGTAGATTATTTTCAATATATTTCATTATTCCATTTGTTCCTTGAATATTGTAATAGATCCATTTTCACAACAGGTAAATACATTCAAGCTGAGGCAAAATGAAAAATCAATACAAAGAACAGAGCTTACCTGGAAGTCATGTTGTTGGAAATTAGAACAATTCTCAGGAATTCAAGTTGAACTGGAAATAAAGAAAAAAATAATTGATTATTTTACTGGCCTCATTTTATGTGCATTAACTATACAAAAAATCACATATTTTTTAGGATAGTGGGTAGGATTGGAACAACTGGATAGGTATCAGGATATTTTACATAAAATTACTATGCTGCAGCATATGCAGTTTTTGCAAAACAGTTTATAGTAATATATTCATCAGATGTAACGAGTTCTGCAATATGTATTCGCTTCTGTTGAAAGTCACCTACATATATCCACAAATATTGATTACGTCCAAATATGAAATTTTTGATGGAAGCTATTTTTTAATTCCAATTTCTTCGAATATGGGCTTAAAAACAGTAATAAAAAGACTCACCATTTTTTAATTAAAAAACCCAGTTTCTAATTCGATATTTTCTATGGACAATTACGCCATTTTTCCATCTTTTTATTGAAAAAATTAGAAAATATACACTTTCATACGCAGTCTTAACAGACGGGACCCTCATCGTTCAAGGAACAAATTTATACTGACAGCCATGATGTCGATGAGCGCAACTTAATCGGACAACTTGCTTCTGATTGGTCAGAACTTTGTATGCTCAATCCAAATAAGCTACTGATTAAAATTTTGTACCTAATCTATCCGCACCTATATGTATTTAAAATACCTGCAACTAGCTGCAGACACGTGAAGAGTACAAGATAATTATTAAGGTTTCTCCTAAATTATTTTAGAAGCTTATTTCCAATACTCATGAAAGCAGTCCTCATCTTGATGCATCCATATGTCATGCGAAGGCTAGTGGCAGATGTCAGGCAATTGTAAACAGAAAATCTCAGCTGTAATGCAAAAACGTGGTTCTAAGACATTTAAAAATGGGCAAGAAAGCAAAGAAACGTGATAAAATTACTGTAGTATTTGACGAAGAAAAAAGAAGGTACGTTACTGAATATAGGTTTCCTATGTGTCACTTATTCTGTTCAGTTTTGTTTAAATACTTTCATTTTTCCAGAGAATTTCTAACTGGGTTCAGAAAAAGGAAACTGGAACGTAAGAAAAAGGCTCAGGAAAAATTTGAGAGAGAGCTATTGGAAGAAAGGAAACGAATAAAGAAAGAAGCTAAAGAATCTTATAAGAAATTAGTAGCCTCACATAGACCTATACCTGAATTAGAAAAATATATGCAGCGAGAATATGAGGAGGATGATGTTACTGTGAAGGTGCTCGATTTTTCAACTAGTATTAACAATAATGATAGCGACTCAGTTACAGTGAAGGAACAGGAAACTGGTGAACATGAGGATAGTGAAGAAGTACCAGGGATGGAGCTGAAAAGAAAAGTTAATGTTGCTAAAAGGAATGTGCAAGCTGTCTCTCACATTTTATCAAAGAAGGATATAAAAAAAGCTGTTAAACAAGAAGCAACAAAATCTGTGAAGAAAAGCAAAGTATTCCAAAAGAAAAATAAGCTTGAGAAACAGAAGGCAATAAAGAAGTCTTTGCAGATGAAGAGAGACAAACTGAAAAATGCTAAATTGAAAGGTAGACATAATAAGAAGAATTTTAAAAGCAAAACGAGGAATAATCAGCTGTGATCTCTTAGCAGATACATGAGATATTACTTTGTAACAATTTTATAATATTAAACCATTTACAATTTATGTTTTTCTCGACCTTTTATTTTTGGCTATATTGTAACACTGGTTGCCTATACGTGTCAAAGCATAAAACAAAAATATTAAATTCAATTGGGTCTCATTGTCGATTGTATCAAATTGTGTCTATTTCATGCATAATTAAGTGATACAAAAAGACCATGATTTTATTTTTTGGCATAATCCTTCGAAAAAAAAACGCTGCGGACAGGATTCGAACCTGTGCGGGCAGAGCCCAATGGATTTCAAGTCCATCTCCTTAACCACTCGGACACCGCAGCGGTGGTTGTAGTGTTTCGATTACACCAACAGTAGGGAACGTTGAAGCCGATCGTAAGAATTGCATAAAATTTTATTAATTTTATGATTAAATTCTAAATACATGGTTATGTTAACTGTAACATCACCAAAGGACTATCAACCAAAAAATATTTTTACAACAAAACTTTACTATAAATAGTTATATCAAACTGGAATGTGAAGTCCTTTGATGCTTAGGCAACCAGTATTACTAAGGTAAATATCCTAATAATAGTTACTTATGTATCTAGAGCGTAAAGTGCTGAAATGAAAAGACGCTCGAAAGACTCCTCAAAAGCAAAGAAACCTCATAAGAATGTCTTTCAGCTGATTTCGAGCATTCTTAATAAGCAGAAATTCCATTGTGCTGATCAGTAGAAGACATGAATCCAGTCAATGACTGCAGGTAGAAAAATGAAATAAATTCAAAGCAAAATTATTGTAATAATTGAGAAACTATAAAATCAATAGTTGAAAGTAATTAAAATTCTTAAAACTATAAAAATCACCTTTTAAAGTAAAATAAACAACAATAAACTAAAAGTGATGTGAGAATGATAATTCAAATGATTATAAAATATATATTTATGTAAAATGCAATCACGTGTATAAGATAACAAATAAAACGCTGAATGTATTCTGTCCAGGCAAACAGTAGAAAAGCATTTGTTCAATAATTTTCATACCGTATCGCTTTTCCGTCAAATAGTTTTTCCACCGTCAAATTCCCGGGGAGGGGCTCTGCCCCATATGAACCTCCAATCTGTGGCTTTCCTGACACTTATAAAGAGTTTTGCAATTAGTGAGATTTGTTCTCGACGAAGAAACTCAGCGATCTGAATATCGACAAATGAAGATGAATGGCCAAACAATAAATCTGGACAATCCCCAAAATCAGATATGCGATTGAATGCCTTTTTAAGATATGATACATTACTGTGTATCAGAAACAATGAACTACACTAAATTAGCACTGTTCCAGGAACTGATAATCTCTAGCATCAAAATGTACCAAATTACTGCCTTCCAAGCATTGATAATAATATTCAGGTTTTTCATCATCCTTCAAATGAGCAAAGATTGTAAGATCACTAGAACAGAAAATTTTTCGATGCCGAATTATCTGAAAGATAACTTCTCCCGTAGTACAATGGATATTTAGCTTGGATGGACGATGGAGCCCATTGTGGGATACTAACGGTAGGACTTTACTCTGACAATATTTAACAGAAAATGACACCTCGGTTATGTCGGCAGGTCGACAACTCTACCGAGTTTTATCACATAAATACAGCTGACGTGTTTTGTCAAATTTAACCACAGTACTGGTGTTATGAAGTCGGCGTCAAGCCGTAAATGGGGGATGGGATATATAATATATAACTTGTCGCCAGCTTGTTTACTGCCTTCTTCTTCCAAGTGTTAATTCTTAACTCTTGAATATCTATTTCCACTTCCTTTTTCCATCTGGTTTTCGGCCTTCCTCGTCTCTTTTTCCACCAATATTGCTTGTAAGTACTCTTTTTTGTATTCTGGTCTCCGTCATCCTTTGGACATGACCCAACCATCTCAATCTTTGAGCTTTCACTGTTCCTACTATATCAGGTTCACCATAAGAGGATTTCTGTTCTTTGTTCATTCTCCGCACCCATAAAATGGGAGATAGGCCAAGTAATAAAAGTTAACAGAAAAATATAAAAAATGTGCACTTTTCAAATTTTAAAAATCCTGTGATGATCTTTCAGATCCCATTACTACAAATTTCAATTTTTTCTTTGATGGAGTGACGGACAGTGTCATTCGTAGTGACAAATAGGACGGCCACTTTTATTAATTCATGATTGTGTAGTCTGTGTCGACCGTACAGGAATTCGTCAGCATACACCTCATTTATGGGGAATGTATACTAAGTGACATATAAATCCGAACACCCAGTTTAAATGGTTTTATTTTGATAAAAGTTTGTGAATGTATTTATCTTACTGTAAATAACAAGTGAAAAAATTTTCAGCCTTATCAGTTGGACATTCCGGTTTTTATACTGCTTTTTTTTAATTCACTAACGCTCTAAAAATGAATATTTCAGCCGCAGTAAAGAATCAACGTTGGCGGATTTTGGTTCTTGACATACTTTACGATCGGTTACGATACCTAGAGTACGGAGACCTGTACGATTTCGTCAACTTAGTGAGTTTGATAGGGGCCGTATAGTGGGACTTCGGGAAGCTGGACTTTCTTTTCGGGCAATTGCAGTTAGAGTGCAAAGAAGTGTAGACACTGTGGTTAGGTGTTGTCAGGCATGGCTTCGAGAAGGCCGTACGCAAAGAGCAAGGGGCACTGGACGCCGCCGTAGAACAACAGACCGTGAAGATCGCCGCCTAAGATTATTGGCCTTAAGGGACCGTTTCTCCACTACCAGGTCCATTGCAAATGAATGGTTTGCAGAACACGGAAGACCTATTGGAATGCGAAGTGTTTACCGACGAATGGGAAGTTTTGGCTTGTTTTCATACGGGCCACACGGGGTCCTCCCTTTAACTCGAGAACACCGACGTAATCGCCTTGAGTGGTGCAGACAACGGTCACTCTGGGATCAGGAATGGAACAGTATTGTCTTTAGTGACGAGTCTCGATTTTGTTTAGGCATGCACGATGGTCATGCCAGGGTTAGAAGGCGACGTGGTGAAAGGAGGAATCCACAGTTTTTTGTTGAAAGACATGTTCATCACACTGTTGGAGTTATGGTTCCAGGTCACCTTTAATCTTTATCAGAGGTAACATGAACGCGCAGCGTTATATCCACGAAGTTCTAGAACCCCATCTTTTACCCTATCTTGACACCCTGGCAGATCCAACTTTCCAACAAGATATTGCCCGACCACATGTTGCAAGAGTCACAATTGACTTCTTTCAACATAATGATGTCACATTGTTACCATGGCCACCAAGATCTCCCGACTTATCCCCAATTGAGCACGTGTGGGATATGATGGGTAGGAGATTGCTCAATTTGCAACGTCCTCCTCAGACTCTAGAAGCACTCGAGAGGAGTTGGTGGTTGCCTGGAATGAGATACCAGAGGAGGACATTGACCACCTGATCAGAAGCATGCCTAGGCGCGTTGGAGAATGCGTAGCACATCAGGGTGCATCCACACATTATTAAAGATCAAAGGGCTTTAAAGCAGTGCAATCATTTTGAAATTTTTATCATTTACTTATTATACTTCATTAGGTACTTATACAAAATTTTATTAAAATAAAACCATTTAAACTGGGTGTTCGGATTTATATGTCACTTAGTATATTAGACGCTATACTAGTGCTGCCGCAACGAGCTCCACCGGTGCCACGTTCACCGAGTACAATCTCTACAACCCCGGGATTATCTTCCAAGAGTTGACTTTGGCAAACAATGTTACAGAGACACCATGAAGATGATTTTTTTGAGAGTAGCTATAGTATACAACTTACAGCTTAGACCTCCAGTAATGCCATCTCTGAAGCAGATTTTACATCACATTGATAACTAAAGCGTCATGATGTTTAGGCAACACGTACAACAAAACGAGTTCACAACAAGTAACCATCAGCTAGTGCTAAGTTAACATCTTTTAGAAAAATCTACAATATGTCACAGAAAAACCAATACAAAGTAAAAAAGTGGCATTCCATCGCGGTTTTAATTTTGACATTCCGTAGGTTTTTCTACAAGATGTTAACTTAGCACAAACTGTTGTACACTTGTGAACTCGTTTTGTAGCTGTACGTGTTGCTTAATCGTCAGCGAACAGCGATCATAGCATGCAAACGTGAATTTGTATGTGTATTTGTAGCCTATTTTCTCACCAGTCAGTTGTAATAAATATACTTCACCAACCAGGGATTTTCTTTTCTTATCTCTTGAAATTTAGCAAGTTTGCATATGTGCTCTCCAGGATGAAGCACACATTCCGAGTAAGTGTATTAAGTATGTTTGGGACAAGAAACACACAAATCCTCACTGTGCACCTATGCCCTGCCATTAGCTTCCAGCTATAGTAAACAACTTGCAGCTTAGAGCCGTATCGTCAGTGGTTCCTACAATTGTAGGACTCTTTTATGGCCTCCTTGATTTCATAGTATTTTTTCTCCTTCAGAAAGCCTGGGGTATTTCTAGATTTCTACTGTTCCGTGTCAGCGTTAGCGCTCTCTTATTGTGGGGCTATATTTTATTTTGAATTGTAGGAAATTTCAGGCTATATAAAGAGTGAATAATTTGATGCAAGTAGATATTTGTAACATAAGCTAAAAATAGAGCGCTGACACGGAACAGTAGAAACTTATGAAAATCAAGTAGGCCATAAAGGCGTCCTACAATTTTAGGGACGACTGACTATCTGACCCTAAGACCTCCAATAATGTCATCGCTGGAGCAGATGTTACATGACATCAGCGCCAAACGTCGATAGCTGAAGCGTCATGATTCTTAGGTAACACATATAGCAACAAGACTGTACCTACATGAAGGTCAATAGCTAGATCTAAGTTCACATCTTGTAGGAAAACCTACATATTGTCACACAAAATCTATATGATGTCAAAAAACTGACATGATGTCATTTTTCAAGATGCGTAATACCCCTTCACGATAATACACCGCCGGCACATATGCAAAACTAAAACACCGAAGTTGTAAAATACTTAATCTAAAAGACACACACACCTATCCAGTGCGATGGCATTAGAAATCCCGTATACGTTGGTGCCGAATTACTTGAACTTTCCGTGGTTGCAATGAGTGTTGATCACAGAAGCCC